GAAAGCCAGCCGAGCGGTTTTTTTGTTTTCCATTAAAACTCGGCCGACCGCTGAAGCCTGCACCACGCGCGCACCATGGAAGTACGGGAATTAATTAAAATGCCCAAGAATTAAACAATATCCGGCGCGTCGGTTGTCGAATTCGCAGCGGCGGAAGAAAAAGGTAAAGCATCGAAAATAGATTGCACCTGTGGTCGGGGGAGCTGCTGAACTCGCGCAACAATTGGAGTTTTAATCAGCGAGCCACAACAGGTGTCGCGGACAGGTCGCGCGTCGACGATGCCGCTCGCGTACGTCATTGCCAGGCGCTGCGGAAACGCTAATCTTTGACTTTCCGACTTTTCGCCGCGTCCCTCGGCTCGCTCCTGAAAATAGAGTTTAAAAAGTTTGCCGTGTTTGAGGTTTTAAAAATGTCCGCAGAATAGCGCCGCGGCCGCTCGCTTTCCTTTCACGGTAAACGGCATTGCTTTCGTTTAAATCCTCGTCGATCAAAGTGCGGTACGCTCAAACACTTATTCGAATATTTTACGATTCCAGTTAACTTCATCCGAGGCCGACAACGAGCACGTTGTTAGTTATTTTTCAATCGAGCAATCTATTGAAAAATTGCAGGAGCGAGCCTCACTTTTCCATCAACGCCTAGATTTTTAGATAAAACTAATGCATCTAACGTTCACTCCTACCCAAATATCGGTAGCGTTGCGTTATTTTCAATTTAATAAAAATTAAGACTTTATTCGTCAATTTACACTGGAAATCTAATCTTTGACAGAGAAAGATCCCTCTTCTCGTTATTTTCCAGTGATAATTCGACTAATCGTCATTATTGCCATTATTTTCCTATGATTCGAAACAATAAAATCGAGTCTGGCAAAATCCGACAAAGAGGAATATCGAGCTAACAGTAAATAATTTTCGAAGGCCAAAACGATCGGCGAGCAGCAAGCAATTTCCAGCTGGTAATTAATTCAAAGCGCTCGCAATTCCGAACAAGAATTACCGAATTAATGAAGCTCGCGTTGCGTCACAAACGCCTGCTCTCGAATTATCGGCAGCTCGTAGCACCAGCTGATAGAGTTCCAAGCTCACACATTGAAGAATTCGCGCCGCTGTAGCGAGAGGGACAGTCTAATTAATACACACACACAAAGACCAGAAATAGCTTCGCTGTACGTATGCATATGCGTACAATGCAGTTCAGCTCGTTAATTAGACGCCGCTTGTGAACGCTCGGTAATTCGTTGATATACAACATGACGAAAGACTGGAATTTCATATACAATGATTTTGCAATATCGACGTTACTATATATGTAAATAAAAATATTTTTTTTTTCGAAAAATATTACTTCGATGAGCACGTAAAATAATAATGCGCGAAACGACAGCTTTGATCTCATCGCTCTAATTTCCAACATTGTACGAGTATATAAGAAGTGTACGAATGCAGTCTGAATATTAAAATATGCAGACGAAACATGGCTTTTGAAAAACATGTTTGACGTTTTTTCATTCGCGGTCGACTTGAAAATGTAAAGCTATAATTGCGAAAGTAAAAAAAGGCCGCACTCGAGCTCGCTTTAATTTCTTTGTAAAGCGCACAAACTCTTAAAAACATCTTTGCAAACATCATGGTTGGTCGTTTGTCAGCGGCAAACATAAAGCAAACGCGGGGGGGCAAACGCGCGCAATTCGTTCCTCTGCTCTCACTTTCACGTTCAAGTCGTGATAGAGAAAGGGCCAGACTTATACGTACGGACGAGCGAGCGACTCAAAGTTTTACGAGGCAAAGAATGCTCGAGCCGCGTGCGACTCCTCTGAGACTTTACAGCTCGTGTCCGAGCTTATGAGAGCAAGAGAATTACTTTTTTTTTCATATTGTCGCTCTCGCTCCCTGTCCGAGCGAATGTTAAAAGCGCGTACAACTTTTAATTGCGACGCTCTTTTCGCGCGCCAGCGAACGACTCCTATGTTTCTATTTTCTTTTTAACGCGTCAATTTCTGATGTTCGTTACGCTCTGTCACGCTGCAATAATCTTTTATTTTCATTAAAACTTGCAGCGGAGTAGCCTGCATACGTAAAAACATATAGACATAAAATACCAATTGAACGATGAAGAAAACGATAATCAGTATTTCACTTGAGCGAAGGATTTGGCGTACAGCCGTAACGCAGCAGATCACGTTATATAGAATATTTTTAATTCTTTTCTCTATCACTTCGCGGACTATCTGAAGGTAAATAAACTTATGCCCATTAGCGGAGTTATAATTGACGAAATAAAGAAACGTAATTTAGCACAATAAGCTGACAGGTTGGAGTGAGATTTGCGTGTTTCCGAAGCTCCGCAAAGGCCGAAGAGTCCAGCACTAACGAATGTCAATTAAGATGTGGTCCCGCAAAGAACCATGAAAAGCCATGATTTCGTGTATGCCGACGTGAGCACTTGTACGGGCAAGGAAAGAGTGTCGCGGAGTCGGGTAAAATTATTGGCGAGTAGACCATTGGAGCATTGGCGAGCGCGCGCCGATCGAAGGCGACGAAGGGAGGGATTAATTTGCAGATGACGCCGATATTACGATCGCGGCACGTGTGGGCCGTGGTAAGTCGCGAAGACGACGGCGATGACAAGGAGGAGATTGGTTATGCGAGAGAGACGGCTGCGCTCGTGTAGGACACGTGTAGCGCTCGCTCTCCGCTGGGGCCGACGTGTCGCGCGTCGCACCAATACGACACTCGTACTCCTGCCGGCGGATGCCAACTGCCGTACATACAGTGATATTAGTCTGCGCGTCAGCGCCCACTCACCTGCTGATATGTGCCCGCTAGTCGGTGCTGCCTAGTGCTGCTGCTGCTGCTGTCTTTAATATGCAAGTGGCGCGTCGGCTGTTATGGCTTGTCGTTGCAACGACGAGTGCGCGATGCAGCTTCGACGGCTTCTTAGGCATAATGCGTCGACGTTTATTGCATCGATTTCCTTACTGGCTTTCGACTTTCTTCTGAAATACGAGAAGCAGCGCAAATCGATCGATCTACCAATGTCGACTATGATTCACAATCGTGTTCATTCTTACTATATTATTCTATTGTGCAGGTATTCAAACTGGATGTTAAATTTTTAATCGAGTATTTTTCTTAACGATCGATTGTCACAACACTACAAAACTTATTCGCCAGCGCCTCCCAAGTCAGAAAAGAAAGTATACAAACTCACGCGGATGTGCGCGCGCCAGATAAAAACGTCGCTGCTTGTACGGTAATATTACCAGCTTGACACGATTTATTATTTGGTTATAATTTTTTGTCGTCGTCGCTCAGTGCTCTACTCGATCTTTCTTCTGTCCCATGACTTATGGGGTGCAAAAACCGGCGAGCAACTAACCGCGCGCGGAAACCGGAACCTTCACCGCGATGGCGTGACAAATGGCGCAGTTTTATTTATTTTCGTTTTTCATACCGGTTACAGGCACTAAATATTCCAATTATTCGTAAGCTGAGTATTCTTGATCATTAAAAAATGAGCGATATTCTTCTCCAATCGATACTTCGTCTACGCGCGTACGCATCGTCTGGCTCGATGCTCTTCGTTACCTTACAGGTCTTGAGATATTGATAGTTACAGTAAAATAAATACACAAGGCTTAGGACGAAGACTCGACGCTTCGAAGCTATCGAACGTGCGATCGAATCCTTCGATTTTCCGGAAAGTCACGCAGAAGCGCTTCAATTACCTGCCGGTTGGCCTTCGCACTTTGTTGTTATAGAGTGATAGCAAGACAGGATATTAAAAGCCAGGACACGCTTAAGCGGAGAAAATGCAAATTACACGATCGAAGCCGCGGATAAGAGCTGAAATCAGGCTGTGCACGTTTGTCTTGTTAAGTTAGCATTAACTGACAATATTTGCTTGCTTAGTGAAAAAAGCACTATGGAATTTTCTATAAAAGAAAACTCGAACATAGATTTCCTGAATATAAATAGCTTGGGATCAGTATATTCTGCACGCAAATCCCACGGCGGGCACTAAGCGACACTAAGGAAACCTCATGAAAAATAAGGACGAGAAGCAACGGTAACCGAGTTACACGAGCGTAATAAATGTTGCACATGCGGAATCTGCGGGAATGGACGCTCGCGCGCGTGTATTTGACGCTGATCCTATTTCAACTGTCGATTGGAGCAGCTCACGTATCCAGATACACGCTAACGTCTCATTGAAAATTGAAAGACAAAATGCGAGTGCTACTTTCTTGTTTTCTACGGCGCTGCCGTACAACGCCAGAAGCGACATGGTCTTCTGAAAGCGGAAATCGGTAACTGCTGAATTGGCCTTCAAATTGAGTAAAATGGCAATCTAAGAAGCATTTTCTTTCCTCGAATCACGCGTAAAGGGAGGGATAATCGCGACGACAAGGGGCTTCTCTCTCTCTCTCTCTCTCTCTCTCTCTCTCTCTCTCTCTCTCTCTCTCTCTCTCACTCAAGAGAGGTCAGAAGAACGTCCATCCACGCGTGAATACGAACACTGACACGGAGAGAGACAGAAAAAGGGAGTCATGTCATTTCTCTCTCGTCTTTTATTTCACAGTAATGTTTATATCGTATACCCGAGGGAGATTCGCGAAAGAAGAAAAGGCGCGACACGCAGGAAAGACAGACGTATGAATAATACGCGAGTGTTGCGGCGCTTGTTTAACTTTTCAAGCCTTGCGCCTGCATACTTTATCAACTGGCCTCGCTCCAAACTCGCACACCCACGCGTGTACGACGACTTTTGCCCTGGAGATTTCTCCTTACCCATTTCAGACGCAGAGAGAAAAATGCAGGCGCGCGTGATGCATCTTATTTAAGAGGTCGCTCTCTACTGGATGATATTACGAGACACTTCGCTCGGCTACTGTTAATGCTGTACAGTTGGAAAATTAACCCGAAATTTATTTGCGATGTGTGTTCGTCTTGAAAGGCAATTAGAAATAACTCAACGACAAATTGGCATATTTGCGATATAAAGTTTATAGAATTTATTACGATTTTCCTCAAGATTCAATATAAATATAGGCGGAAAAGTTTGCTGTGATCGTTATTCACATAACGTAGGTAATATTTTCACTGTGCGCGCGCGTGTGTGTATGTGTAGAAAAGAAGATACATTTTACATTTTATGTATAGAAACGCACTTCGGCTATAACGCAACTTATATTTACAAAAAAGGTATTAAGAATTACTTAAAATTTGCCATGCCTTCTTTTATCAATTGACAGATTCACAGTCGATTTAAGAAAAAAAGAAAAAACTATTGAAAAATTTCTGTTATTCAAAAAATAACTTACAATAAAAAAAGACAGAGCAACGCCCTAACATCCCTTCTAAGAGCAAGTAATATTTCCATCTTGAAAGAATAATTTATGGAATCAGTTATGTACATGTTAAATCTATAACTTATAGGTACAGAAGATTTTGTTTCACGAAAAGAGACCTTATAAAAAAAACTTCGAAATTTTGAATATTTAGAAGAAAGAAACAAAAATTTTTAAGACAAAAAAATGGAACTTTGCTTAAGTAGGAACGAAATATCTTTTGTATAACACTAAGAGTATTTAGAAAAAATAAAAAGTCCTAATCTTACAAATTCACTAAAGAAGCCTTAATGTCGATGTTGCATAATCGTGTTGATTTTCAGAAAATATTGTTCTTAACGTTAAGGTAAAATTAGAATAAAACATTTGTCTTGCATTTCAGCTTCTAATTAAACCATTATATGAGATATTTACATCCCAGAAATCCGACATTGCTAATAACTGAATAATCTTTTTAAAAGATCATATGAATTTCGGATTCACCACTCTCGATACTTTAGCTTAGATTCTTACTTATATTTATTCAATTAGGCCCTTTCTTAGATATCTTCAAAAAGCTCATTCATAACTAGACTAGCTGATGAACATTAAGGCTTTTCGGATGTAAATTACAATCTGTCGAAAATTATGTTACAACTGAAGTACATACGTTATACTGGCAGAACAGTAAATAATGCAAAGGTGAACTTTATCCACTATGAATATTACTTAAAAAACACTATCAACATTTTTATGGCTCTCGTGTCCGTAATGCCCACTCACTCTTATAAAAGTCGACATTTTGTAAACAAACTTCTTTGTTATCACTCATACTGACACACAATCGTCTTATAAAATATCTATATTCAAAATATTATACATGTAGACAAATGAAGACACAAGAAGTGTGAAAGCATAATTGTTAGTGTAGCTATTTATCAAAGGAGCTAACAATCGTTCTCACCCTTGATGAGCTTTCAATTAATTTCATAAAGGCATCACAAAATCTCACGAAAGAATATCTCTCATTTTCACTGCACATACAACAGAACAAAGTATGCCAGATATGAACTTTAATCTCTTATTAATAATGTCACGAATCGAATGATCTTAAATTTTATTCTCTATCCAATGCTAATTATAAATTACGCATTTACCCAAAAAATCGCTCGTGAAAAAATACCTGTTCCTCATAAAAACTCACATCTTTGTATAGGCTAATTTCAAATCACTATTTCGAATCACTGAAAAATAATTATAGTTTTTAACTGTCGTAAATTAGGCACTCGTTATAAAAAGTTGACATACAATATTTTTTAACTTGCTTGAAAGATAAAAAATATAAAACATAAATCTTGTTCCACCTCTAACTCCTTCTCTAGTTACTGTCGAAACAACGAGAACATCTTCTTAGAGATCAGATTTATTCTGCATAGCTTCATCAGAGCCGTTTCTGTAGTAACCGAAAAATACCAAATTATCAAAAGTTAATTAAATTTAAAAAATAACATTAATATTATAGTTTATGCTTCAACTGTTAAATGCGAGGAACAAACTTGATTATTGTGTTATATGAATTACGCAACAGGCAAGTTTTTGCTTACTTTTCAGCAACCTATAAACCATTGTTTTTAGATTCAGTAATAAAAAACATAATTTCCGTACGGTATTTATTAATAAAAATGCAAGCTATTTTTTTTATATAAATATAATGTTTTTAAAAATAAATAAATTATGTTACATACAAATTTATTCTTTTGCAATTTTTTTTGTGAAAAATGCTGATAGTAGAAAACGTAATGTCTACTATCTAACAATGAATAAATCGCCAGCGAATATAAATCCATGTAAGAAGGTATAAAATAGATTTGTTTCAATTAAACTTTTCACGTTTTTAAGCTGAAGCGAAGAGGATTGCAAAAATTAGATTTATAGCATATTTTAAGCTAGATAAAGCCAATTTAACGCCATAGATTTTCGTTAGTAGCTTGACGTCAAGCGAAACCACTATAATAATACTCCAATATGAATAGTTGAGTAGATATTATATTAGCCTTTGTTTTTTCTTAAGTTATCAAAATTGTTAATTCCAAAATTACTCAAAAATTGTAAATATTGGATTCACGGATATTTGATACGAGCAAAAAAACGCTTTAGACCATAAAAGCTCTTACAAAATTTCACTCATACATGTATTATTATATGTAAATTGTTACGTGAAATTGTCTTTTGAAATTGTCTTTTTGAAGAAAACAGTGGCAACATTAAATATTCACTTCGCTGAAGAAAGCAGTCCATGATAAAGGCGACAATGTATTCACGTATCAGCCAGATTACCAAAAATAATAACATCTATTTTTAACGATGTCCAGAAATACAAAAACAACTCTGATCACTTTTTCAATGAAACGTATAACAAATCACCCGGTGGTATTTGGCTACACACAATATTTCAAGACACTATAGAAGTACCTACTTATCAACGACGTACATCCACAAAATACCGTGTAATGATTTGTTAGACAAACAGACACTGCACAAAACAAGTAGGCGAAGTGATGAGTTAGAACACAGACGCAGACATGTATGCGCTTTCGTGGCGTGGCTCACTTTGCTTCTTTTAGTAGCAAATAAGTGTAAGACATGTAATTACAACCTTCGAAGCGAGGCCATACTGAGAGTACTGCATTTGGCCTTGCGCGTCGGCTGGACCGACATGGGCGCAACGAGCATCTCGCCTCGAGACGGTGTGCCCGAACCATTACTTCCCAATTCCTGTAAAGATACACAGAATAATCATTTGACAAGAGACAATCCATTAGTAGAAAACATGAACAACTTCTTCTCATTATAGAGATTGTTGAATAATTATAAGTTGATGATCATTCAAAATTCAACAAACTTTGAAAAAATTGTACATGTCAATTCATCTACAATGCACATAACATCACTAACAATAATCTACTTCAACAAAGTTGAAATTCTTAGAATTTAGAGTAAATTCTCAGAACTTCAATCTAATATTTACAAATATAATTAATAATTTGCCGTACACCAAAACCCACAGAAAACATAAAAGATCATGAAATAAACAAGATTTTGTTTTTCATTAAAGACAGGTGTATTTTTAACGTATGAAAAACTAAAATAATAGAGAATCTGCGCGTATCCAATACGCAATTATTAAATTACATCCATATTTACGATGCACGACTGTACCAGCTGGAAATAAATTTGATAATCATAAAGTATAACGAGTGATGTATAAAAAAAACAGACTATATTTATCCGTTAATTTACGTTCTTTATCTGACAAATAATTTCGCACTATTCTTTCACAAACAACTGATAGTCGCAAATTATTCTATTTAAAAATATATAATTAACATAAAGAAAAATATAGTTCAAATTTCCACTCATCTGCAAATTAATCATTCTTATACTAGTAGTTGTTGAACTATCGTTAGCCGAAACACTATATGATATTGCAATTAACATAGAAAAAAAAATTATTTTTATCTTTTCTTTAACAAAAAAGGAAATTAGGAAAAAAAAATCAATATTAGATTTTAAAGCCATAGCGCACTTATTGTTTAACAACAACCAATCGGTCTACCATTTAAACGATACTTACTCAATAAAGTACAAAATATTCCTTTCGCATTTCCATTTGATGGCATGCACATAAAAGAAGTTCATGACTTACTAAACAATTGTAACGTATGTTTTCATATAAAAAAAGAGTTTTGAGATGTATGTTATATTTATAAGAATGCACGTTTGATTGCCAATAGATGGTATAAAAATATGTAAAACTTTTTCAAAAATGTTTTAAAATAATGTTTTATACCATTTATCTCCATAGACAAGCTGCGTTAAGCTTTTTCGGAGTATTTTTTAGCATTCAAATACTCATACATCTTAATGCGGAAAATAAAAAAAGGAAGCTCCTATTACTCTTTTTCGTATAAAGTTCATTGTATTCAACCATGTATTACTCACTGAAATAGTCATTGTACAGAGTAGACCAATCTATTTATATAGCAACAAAAAAAAATTACAGAATTCATAACGAAAAAAAAACTACGTTCAAATTCGCAGACTCGCATGTATAAAGGAAGATATCTGCAAAATTTTAAGATGAAAAAATCCGTTGCGAGTAAGCGTGAAACCACACTACTGTAACGGTTAATTACTCAGTGTGTTTAACTAACGTTAATGTTGTTGCAACTAGCAAGGCGCATCTGGGCAAGTTGGTGACTTGCCGGGGTCAGGCTAGTTGTCGAGCCGAACGGCGACATCATTGTTGACACCGCACGCTTCAACTTGCTTGGCGTTTTGTTGAAGCTGAACGTACGTTGAATATTCTTTTTTGTCCGTGTCGCGAACCTGTAGCATAAAAGAAAAGATACATCAATTATGAAATAATGAAACGAGTACAAACACTTATATAAGTGCAAACGAATAACTTTGATGTCCCCCTTGAGATATTGAATCACCATTCAAAAACATTACTATTATACAATTTTGAATAAGAATATATAAAAATTTTGTAAGTATATTTATTTTGAAATAGTTAAAATTCTACTTAGTAAATTTGTAATTCAAATTAAAGTACTAACGAACCAATTACTGTTCATATTTAACAAGAAACATTTTGAAGGAGGAAAAGAAAGTTCTACACAATCAGTAGGGTGTTTGCGATAAAGACGTTAAATTACGAATCCCGAAGAGCAGAAAATCAGTTCAAGTTCAATAGCAAAAATTTTATTATGTTTCAGAAAACTGAACAAAATTTATGAATATAATAATTAAACTTATTGAATGAAACTTGCCAAAAATCAAGCCATTACATGCGGTATTTTCATTCGCGAATTAAGCGAAAAATATAAAATTGTGATTAATTAATCAAAAAAAACTGTGAAAAAGCTCGGATTTAATATTGATTATTTCTTGAACTGATCACACCATAACCAAAGCAATTCAAACCTTCAAATATATAAAATTTGTTAAAACAAATTATGTAATGGATTCTAGAAGCAATGGGGTGAGGAAAGTGGACAGAAGCGAGTAAAAAAATGTTTTAAACAGCCTGGTGCGGAAACTGACGGTAGTGGGACATGTAACGTAGTTTCACACATGCTATTGAGTAGGAACACATACGGGTCCATATACTCCAGGTAAAAATTATGAAATAGGCTCCTGCAACCAAACGTATCGTCGCCCCATTATTGTTTTGATACATGCAAAGAAAGTTCATAAAAGTTTTTTTATTTTTCAAATGAATATTGTGCTAAAATCGTCGGTTAATTATTTTTTTAATTCGCTACTTTATGAATTTTTATGTTTAATTGAATAAAAAAACAAAAATAGAATAAAATAATTTGATAGCCCTCATCAAATTGGCATCAGTTTAGAAGGTAAGTAATAGATAGAACGTTATAGCTATGAAATTTCCAACATCTTTACAAAAAAATTGTTAAAATTATCCAAATAAAATCCAAAATCGAACTTATATCTACATAAAAACTAATTTGAACTAGTTCTACAAAACATATTGATAAAAATTTTATAGATTTACTCACTTAAATGCTTTACTTAGTGTTCCTAATGCTACATCACTAGTATTTATTTCAAGCTGATGAGAATCAAGAGTGATTAAGAATGTATCCTGAAAAATAATGAATTATTAGTTGACGAATATTAATATTTAATTGTGCGAATTTTATGAATACATTGTTACGGTGTGAAAAACTCTTACCGCATCAGCTTTACAAACAGTATTGGCTATTTGTCGGCACAAACATCGCAGGTAATTCGTTTTATTTACCTCCTCGTCAGTAATTGTGAAAGAATATAATTTTTCTCTCAATTCTTGGTTACTTCGTACCATTAAAGCAAATACATTTCGACATTCTGAAAGTAACAATTTTGAAAACTCTCCGTATTTTTTTGAACGATATTCAAAAACAAACCACACTCACCATCAGTTTCTCGAATATCCACAACTTTCTTAATGGTACTAAGCGACAACATTTTAATATGTTTGTAAGGCTTGCCACTCATCTTCACAGTATGCAGTCCATTGACCGTGTTGGGACTCTTCACCGAATTAAAGGCCTTCGAGCGTTTCTTGCAGATCTCCAATGTATCGGTAAAAAGAAAGAGAACGAGATGATCGCCACGGCCACTCAGTCCCTCGCTCAATTCCTGCACGTCACACTTGCCGATGAACGAGCGGTGCGAGGACACCAAATGCGGCGGGCAATTGTCGATCTCGTTAAATATATCAAACATGGCTAGCTGACCCTCAGTCTTTCGTTTATCCTCGTTAATATAAGTCATAACTTCCTTAATGCTATTTAACGATTGTTCTAAGGCATTGTGATCAGAATTTTTCTTGTCGGTATGCTTCAGAATATCTGTAAAGTTTTACAAATTTGTATTTGATGTTTTAAATTTTCCAACAAAAAATTATTAGTGTGAAAATAAATTTCAGACAAAAATTACCATTCAACAATAAACTAATACTAGGAAGGCGCTGAACCGGTTTAATCATCAATTCTTTCAAACTTTGTCTACCACATTCTGGCTTAGTCTGACACACTTTGAGAAAAGCATGAAACCTTGGCTTGTTTTGATCGCACTGATCCAACATTTCCTTTGTGTTTTCAAAAAAGTTAACGTAGGGAGGATAAGCTTTCAATAAATCTTGCGAGTACTTGAGTATAATCTGACCTATACTATTATCTTCTCTCCAGTTAGTTGCACAAAAACGCAACTCTTCCAACATCTTTTTGTGTACCTCGTAGATCGGTGGAAAATTGCCGAAAATTATTTTGGCTTCGGTGGTGTTTAATAATCCTTCCTTTTTTTCGTCGACATCTTCTAAAGGCTCTTTAAACAGCTGTACAAATAAACCAATTTAAAAATTGCTTTATTTTTTGTTTAATTTAGGAATAATTTCAATACCACAAGCTACTTACAGTCATAATCGTACTGAGAATCCCAACGTAATTTGACTCAGTCTGGACAAGTTCAAGGAAGACTTGATGTCGCGGAGAAAGAGTTTTTCTCACTGTTTCAGTGTCCACAACTTCTACCTCTGGAATATCTGTGATTTAACAATTATTCATACTTTGAGGTCTTCCCTCGAATGGTCTAAGGTTACTTAAAGAAAATGTACAGGCATTGAAACTTTAATTCTCTGAGACAAGTTTTTCATAATCGAAATAATTTCAAGTTGAAATACAATCTATGACACTTTTAAGAATCAAATGTTAAATTATTTCATTATCATTGTGCACACAAAGCAATTAGTTTAATAAACCATAGAAGGAAGACGAAAAACTATTATAGAGTTTAAAGAATAAACAAGTTAATATAGAGTAACAAAGTAACAAAGAAAAGAGTTTGGTTGGATAACGACATTGAGATAAAAAAGAGAGCGAGGATAACGCCGTAAGCGAAAAAACTTAGTTGAAAAAATTATCTTACCATCTAACAGCTGATTTTCTGGACTGATAGTACTATCGAGAAGGCTGCTGTTTATACTAAGGAATCCTTCGCTAAGACTCGATCTTCTTTTGTTGCGCGATGCCGGTGAACTAGTCCCATTCTGTGCAGCTTCAATTACCTCTGGTAAACGTTTACGCTTGCGTTGCTTCGACGCGGATGACGGTGTATTCACAGGTTGACTATTCCTACGTGCCGAGACCGACGGTGACATCAAACGCTCCAAATACTGAAAAAATTTGCAATCCTTTTACTTCTGTTTATTAAAACTTCAAAATTAAATATTCAGTTATTTTTTGCCTCGTATTTACTTTGTCGAACAGGTACTCGTCCTCATCAACAGCAATTTCATTTTGGATGGAGGTCCAGAACCATTCAGCTTTGACAATGCGTGCTCTTTGTGAGGCAATGTCTGGTAAACTATTTACGTTTGACTCGTCGACAACCTTTGATAATATTATCATATTAATTAATCAAATAAGCTTTCTACTTTACATTACGACAATTAAGAGACAGTACGAGCTCAAAGAATGTATTTCGTTATGGATAGTGGAATATCGGTATTAGAGAGTGAGGGATGGAGTATATAGGCGATGAACCCATAACCACGTGTTTTCATGACGATGATTTCTTTTTCATAGACAAACACAAAATGCAAGCTTAACGTTCTTGTCCTAATGTATTTTCATTTTTGGTATTTCTTGTCAGATATAATAACTGCAAAATTACAATTGTACAACCGTTTAGCTCACAACAAAACAATGATCGCTTTTAAAATTTGATTGTAGCATGACTAATTTATCATTTAGGTCTTAATAAATACTTGAAATTACTTATAATTTTAAGATTTTATAATTTCAATAGATACTTGCAATTATTAGTAATTTCAAGCATCTTTTGAGTGTCTACATGAAAAATGAGTCAAACACATCATAGCATCATCTTCGTCGTAAAAGAATAACTCTGTTCAAAATCTGTACCACAAGGAAAGATTTGTCCTGCATCCTTCTGAAACTCCGTTTTTTCGCCAAACAGCATTCTCCTTGTAGCTTCGACACTCTCGCTCTGCAATCATCATCCGCAGCCAATCTTGCAACTTTCGCTGGTACAGGTAATGGACTTGGTAACGGTGTATACTTCTGTCGGCTACACGTACTAGCAGTGTCATCTTGTTGTCGGCGCGGTGCATACTGCTTAAATGTGGATGGAAAGACAATCTCGCTAATTTTGGAGAACAGTGCCGAACTTTGTCTTAAAGCTTTCGAGAAGCTCCTGCGGGTTTTTTGACTACCACTCAGTATTGTTGTTGTGCTGTCGGCTGTGTCGAAACTAGCGCTCGGTTGATACGTTGTTCGTTTAGCAAGTGGAAAACGAAGCTTTGATTCGTTACTACCGCTTGGGGCAAGTGTCTTTGATATGGCGTTGCACGACGTAGATCTTTTCCATCTAATGTAGCGACGCGGTTTCTTTGCACTCGTAAACGTCACTGTCGAGCAGGAACGAATATTTTTGAATGGTATATGCTTTCTCTCATACTCGAGTTTAGATATTAGCGATGTAGTTGGCCGTACGACCCTGCTGTCTTCCATGACAGAATCGACTTCCATTATACCATCCGAAGTGACGGATAGGTCATCAAGAGATTCCACGACACTAAATGTATCTTGAGTATCGTTTACATCTTCTTCACTAATCTCGTCGAAAGTCATGGTTACAGACTCGAATGACGAACTTGGCAAATCGTTGGAGTTGTCCATACAAATTGCTGAATCTTGACTAACATTTTTACGAGTTGCAATGACTTTTAGTTCTTCCGGGCGATAATTTTTACGTTTGTTATCAATATTGAGCAGACGCGATAAGAATATCGACTTTGAGGGCGAGGGTATGGTGTTGGTGTATGGATCATAATAAGCGAAGGAGTAAGGCAAGGATTTGCTATTTCGTGCGAAAGCGATGTCGATGTGCAAGTTCTCACGTGGGAACTTTAGATATGTTAGCGGCGTTCTCGCGCTGTCGGTTATTCTATAGCGATTCTTGCCCAAGTCTATTACCTAAGCAGGATGCGAGAACCAGAACAAAAGATTGATAGATGAAAAAATAAATTAGAAAAAAAAAACGAATATAGTTTGCAAATATTCATGAATGACCTATGTAAGCTAATTTGAATATTATTTAATATGTGAGAACGAAAAAAATGAAATATCAAGCCAAGAGACTTGATTGTCTCTTTTTCTACTTATCGCGTCATGAAGCATTTGAAATGATAAATTGAATGATTATTGTTTCTACTTACCACGTGGGTGCAATTTGGATCAATTATATCAGTTGGTTCCCCTCCTTGCTGTACTAATACTTCACACATGTGGTTCTTTTCTTCCTCTGGGAAGCCATAGAAACAGATCCGAGCTCCAAAGAATAATTTTAATTTATGTGCATTGAGCTACAAATTGAGAAACATAAGTCATTGTTAGAAATGTGTAACATTTAACAAATGACTGTTGAAATAAATATTCATAATTTAATAAAGTTACTCACTACATCTTTGTTACTACTATAAAAAGAAATGTCATCCCTAGCATCCCAAAGAGCAGTTACCCAACTACTGGACATAATTGGAATATTAAAACAGTCTGCATATCTATACTTTTTACCTCCACAACAATTCGCTACTAGATGTGTTATCTTCTCGCCCATTTCTTTTCTAATGCTACCACCCATGTGATGTATCAAGGTGACAAGCTTTGTCTGTAATATGTGTTAAAAAATAAATCTTACAATTTGAAAATACAATCTTACAATATTAAAAAACAAAAAACAAACTTACCAATTCCTCTTTTCTCCTAAATCCAGTAAAGACAACAATCTGTCCGAACATAGCCTGTGTATACATTGGTCGGTTAATGCTAGGTAACGATTCTTTCTTCTCTGCCAGCTGTAACAAAGCTGTTGGCCCCAAAATTCTGCAAAAAAGAAATAAAATATATAATTGACAAAATACAAATCTTGAAGAATTTACTTCTTAAAGGCAACAGGTTGAGAAACATAAAAGGTGAATTCACCTATGTGCAGTTTTATGGAGCACGTCATATTCATTTCCTTCAAACTTTTTTAGTACAAAATATGTGCAGTAAGTAGTGTCATCTATATACTCTACACCAGTCTCAGACTTCAGAACAGGAACACTGAATTGTTGAGCTGCAGCATCCAGTGCAGGATCCTCGCTGGCTGAACCAACGAGGCATATTCTTTTTTTGCGAGGTATATAAGGTAGATCTGCAAATGAATAATAAACATAACTGTTAATCATGAATCTTTTTGCTAATGCAGATATAGTACACTCATAGAACTGTTTGTAACATGTGGAAGGTGAAAAATATTTGTGTGTACAAAGTGAATGCAATATAGATTCATAACAAAAACAATAAATAAAAGATAAATAAATATAATCAAAATGAATAGCACAATGCAGGTTTTTTCCTAACAATTGAATTTGCAAATCATACGTAAACTTTTCAACCTTACAATTTTGAAAAATAAATATTCTATTGTAAGAGTATAATTGTTTACCTCTGATGATCACTAGTAAGAACATTGAATCCCATTAAGGGGAATACTGTTACAAGAAATACTATTGCCCAATGTTTCAGGCAATAATATCTTGTACTAACACATTATTATTAGCTATATCAGTACTCTCAATTGTACAACATTATTCAACAATATAGGAATGTAGTTAACTATTATTAATATAACTTCTTGTTAAATCCTATTCGGTGTTAGAAATATTCACACAATTGTGTGAACATGAACAAATCAGTATAAAGGCAAGAGAGAGACTAGAAAATTTAGGGCCAGAAATTGAAGGTCACTGGACAAACTACACAACAAAGAAATGAAATACTCGAGATGTTATCTATGTTGTCTGCATATTTAAAGCTGTACAAAAATAAACTCTTATACCTAAGACTAGTCAAGCGTCAAGATTACTTACTCATTTTCGAAAAATGGTATTCTATCGCACGAACGAATGGAGTTACTAACAAGCTAATGTTAACTTTATGTAATTACTGTCTATTACGATAATTACTTGGCCATTATGTTTTCACGTCAGCATGTCAAGTTATCAAACGTTATCCGAAATATTTTGATAAATTATCATTCGAATATTTATTTCATCGAAAACATATTTTTGCGATTTTTAACCAACGAAATAGTTAACGAAAGTTTAGTCTCGTAATATTCTCAAATTGAGCTGTGACATAATAATAATAATAATAATAATAATAATAATAATAAAATCACAACAGCATGGGGACAATGATTTAACAGTTTTGAAATCAAATGTGATCATATCTATGGATTCTATAATTAGTGAAAGATTTCTATTTATAATATACAGAATCTAGTGATTCACGGTGCAATTTTCTGTTTGCAAAGCCTCAATATAAATAATTCAATCGAATCCTTAATACTCTTACCTCCCCCCCCCCCCTCTCTATAAATGTCCGAAAGCCCAACTAAAATAAACTAGTGCTCCCAATCTGTGATCCTCTAGCTTCGAAATAAACAAACCATCGGTTTCTCAGATGTACACTTTTCGATAACTCAACTATTATAGTTACATGTGAAATTATAGTGCTAGTCAACATTCATTCCTCATGAAAGTGAGTAATTCCGCGTTTTTTCGTCCCGAAGCTGATTCACTCAACTTCGAAAAGGAAAAATTACACACGAATCACGTGCGCGAAAGCCGGCACTGATTTTTTATTCTCATCACAGGTGTGTCATCTTTAGGAGAAAAGAAAAGCAGGCGAAGGTGCGCGTGTGTGTGTGTGTGTGTGTGTGTGTGCGCACGTGCAGGGAGAATATATAAAGAATGAAGATCGACGCTCGATGATGGGCACTTACATTCAGTCTTGACGGCCTCCTCACTATTTATATCGCTCGTACTGCTGTGCACGCTCCGCTCTTCCATTTTGGCCGCTAGTACTCTCCGCTGTTTGGCACGCGGAGATTTTTTTCTTCTTCTTTCTTTCGCTCCTCCTACACCACCGCCGCCCGCTCCACGCTGCGTATCTGCCTCTGCAATGACAAAAAAAACCCAACACCTCCAATTAGCGACTATCCAAACTGTTTGTCGGATGCGATATCGATAACGAAGAAATTCATTTCCACCGGAAAAACGAGATGTCGCGCGAGCTACGCGCATTTCGCAAAAAGTAATCCGCGAAAGTTTATTGATTGATCTATAACTTTCATTATAACGCGCGAGAAGTGCGGAAGATGTCATCTACATTCAACGGCAATGACGTCAGCAACACACGAGGGGCTACTACTGTCTTTTAGGAAGCGCTTAGATATACTTAAAAGTTGATCGAGGAGGAAATTTTTAATTTTCACCGCCTCGGGGGCAAACACACTCATCCGACTGTTTGGTGTTTGACGTAATATAATGAAAATGAGTTCGTTGCAGGAAATCAGTGGCGTATCCCTGAGAAAAGCGCTTCGAGCGAACGCGTTCTCATTTACTCGAAAATTACAACCAACCGTAATTGACTAATTGCCGCGTCCCTCGATAAAGCAAAACACGCTCGTATCAGTCAGCCTGCAAGTATCTGGCTGACATATTGTTTCAGAGCTCTGTGTAAATACATGCACGGCATTCTTATCATTCCTTTGCATTTATTGCACTTGATAAGTTAACTTTAAGGAAGGCGGTAGCAGACGATAAAAGTTTGATATCTCAATCGCGTTCAACGATTTTCCAAGATTGTTCATTCTGGCGGAATTTTTCCCTTCGCGTGTACACGGATAAGACTGCAATTTAAAGACCTCACGCGTTGATGTTGAGTAACGATACTTAATATTTCATAGTTTGTGCAGTTTGTCGACGTCACGATATTTTTTCTCTATCTCAATTTGCACAGAAAGACACTTTCTCATCTGTGTATTCAGATCGTTACTCAGCACGAGGCACTTGATCAAACCGCGTTTGTCTCAAATCGGCCGAGCGCCTACGCAACGTAATAGTATCTTTTGTGTCGCGCTTGACGTTGTGCCTCCTTTTTTGCGGACAAATCTAAATACACAACCGATCGCCTGATGCGCAATTGTGGCTTTGTTGACTTTGGACAAAAATTTTTTAAATCTGAATGTCAATGGGTCTATCAAATTAATCGTTGACATTTTCTTCGGCGATAAAATAAAACGGGCAGGGTCGCGCTCGAAAATACCGTTCTGTCGAAGAATAAAAAACACAATAAATAAAATTCTTCGATACTGCGCGTTAGAACGTCAACAATATCGCGGCTTCAATGCTGAGAGTAAACAAGTAGCAGTGCAATATAGAAAGCAAGTAACAACGTAGAACAGTAAAACAATCTAATCTTCTGTACAAAATTTGACATAGATTTCTCAAGTGTTTGTGATAATGATCGCTCGCGCGAAGGCACACCATTTTCGACAAGAGATAAGAGGGCCAGCGATTGACAAAAGAAAGCACCTTGCTCGCATAATAAACTCTGCCGGTTAACGGCTTCGCCTATACTCGCCGAGTCGTTAGCCCATAACCGTGGAAGCCGAACTCTTTCGTCACATCAGAAATGGCTCGAGGGAAGCTCTTGCACAGTGTGCGTGTGTGCCGATTTGCAAACAACGCTTCTGCGCCGAGAGCGAAAAAGGCGAAAAAGAAGAGATAACGGCCGGACGACTATACATACGATCGTAATCATTGTAGGCATCCCTGTCCTCGATCTCATGACATCATGGCCTGCTTGCAGACAGCCGTGGCTTTCGACAAAACACTACATTATACGACACGTAAAAAAACTGCAAATAAGCGTGACATAATGATTTCTCATACGAGCACCACCGGAACAAAAAAGAAGTAAGGAAAAATGTTTCCTTTTCGATTCACCTGTGTTCAGCAGGTGGGGATAAAAGAGAGACAGAATAAACGTTCGCGAAAGAACCTAAGCGCAAGGTTACCGTCTCACGAGAGAGAGAAAGAAAAAGAAGAGAGAATGGCTAACGTTCTATATATATACATATATATACATACGGAGCCGTTACGAGATGCTGCTGTCTGAGCTAATTGGCGATAAAACCTCGTTGGAGATGCACCTTCGCGGCATCGTGCACCACCACCGCGGCCACCACCACCATAAACACCAAAAAACACACTAAAGCACTATTTTTTGTATTGTAATTTCTAAATTCTCGCACTTGCGATCCCCCGCAGCAATAATCGTTTCTCTCTCTCTCTCTCACTCGCAAGTTATATTTATGGCATCTCTCGCGCGCGCGAGCGCCTGTGCACTACTCTGTCACAACTGACTGAAAGCGAAAAGAGAGAGAGAGAGAGAGAGAGAGAGAGACAGAGAGAGACAGAGAGAGACAGAGAGAGAGAGACAGAGAGAGAGACAGAGAGAGAGAGAGTGAGAAGAGAGAGAGGGAGAGGGAGACGAAACAAGGAGGTTAGGTGACGACTGGCGCCACTAACTATTGTTGTTTGCCGACGAGAGCGAGGCCATCTTTAGCGTGAACACGAACCACGAACGAACGATTCATTCTCCCGCGCTCTTCTCACATGGTAGGGATGTTATTGCCCCCACTTTCTTACGATCACGGGGCTTTTAATCGGTTAACCTTTAACGGACGATTTACTCTTAACTGAATTGCCGAGATGGACAGGTTATTTTCGCATTGAAAAGTTGATTCAACGATTTGTTGATACTTACTATTTCGTTGCGAAGCTAACTGTTATGAATTTATTTCATACAAATTGCTCACTTGCGATTAACCGTGGGTTCATTTTTGAATGGATTCAACTACAAGGTTGCGGGAAACAAAACTAATCACGTGACCTCTAGCTGCCTCCACTTTTATTGCTGCATGTCTGACCAATCCGAATAGCTCAATATCATTTGAATTTTAAACACTTGTTCCTCCAAAATAACGAAAGATAAAAGAAAATAAAAATGTGTTATTTTTACGCTAGAGTATTTTACACATTTTTTAAATTATTTGTTTTTTCACTCGCAAAATCTAGGAAACTAATAACTTATAGAAATATAATTAAAACTTATTATTATATATTATATATTAAAACTTATAATTAATTTTTTTATAAAATAAAAAAACACTTATCAAGTAATGGCAATAAATGTTTTTCTGGTGTAACTGATTTCACAATTTTAAATAAATATACTTTTATCATAATATTATATAAAAAGAAATAATCTACAGAATACATCTATTACAGTCATCATATGTATAAATTATAAAAAAATTTTGAATTATCATTACTTTATTTAAGAGCATATTTGGATTTGAACACTCTAACTGTATTGTCAGCTCCTCCAGATACCAGAAACTTTGGATTAGACCAATTACAAGTCAATACCTTATCCTCGTGTCCAGTAAGGTCAAATAGTGGAGCTTTGGGACTAAAAATGAAAAGCAAGTTAATTATTATAGCTGATAATAAATAAGTAATTTATAACTCAGTTATATACCTTCTAGTGTCCCATAATTTAACGTTATTGTCATATGCACCAGACATGAAAAGATATTCTTCAATTGTAGACCAGCGAACTGATTGTACCCATTGTGTATGTGAGGTAAACATAGATTTTACTATAGCACCCTCTTGAATATGCAAAAGAAAACAATGTTGATGCACTAAAAAAAAGCAGTATTACTTAAAAAAAGATAAAATATACACCTGTTGATCGCGGATCATATAATCTAACATGTCTATCTGCTGAAGCAGTAACAAGTGTTCTAGATAGATCGGAATAATCGACATCGAAAAAACTCTTATTTCCCATTAGTTCATGCTTTATTCCTCCTAACTCAGTATCCCAAAGTTTCAGTGTGTGGTCCCAAGATGACGTCACTATTTCAGTTTTATCAGACCATACTACACCACTTATTGCCTCCTTGTGAGCTTTCATGGTTCTTAAAGGTGCCTAAAATGTAATATAAAGTAATAAATAATAGCTTACAAATAGTAAATCAGTATATAAAATACTTCTCATTGCAGTACTTACTCTTGTTTTAGTACAGTCAGTCTTTTTCCTTTTCGAAACAGATTCACCATCTTCATTTTCATCTTGTAAGGCTAGAAAGTTACAAGAAATTGTTTAGTTTAATTCTTTAACAGAGATGATTACTTCTGTTTTTAAGAACTCACAAGTTGACCAAATTTTCAACATTGTATCCCAAGAACCAGTAGCCATTAGATTGCTTGTATTATTCACCCCCACAGCTTCTAAACCACGTTCATGTCCTTTACAAATATGAATACTTTCTACAGAATTATTTTCGACATTCCATTTCCATAAGATTGCAGTTTGGTCATGTGATGCACTAGGTTAATCAAATTTAAATGTATATATTGATTGATTTCTGCGGAACTGTAAATAGACATTACAAATGAATATATACCTTACAAAAGTTCCTGTTTCATCATCTAATGATATCCATGCCACAGCTTTTATAGGTGAAGTATGTCCTGGAATTGTTAAATGATGTTTTCCTTTTGCTGTCCAGAGGTGTATTGTATTGTCATAACACCCACTAAGAATCCTGAAAAAATATTTGGATTATCAATATCTGTGTATACAAATAAAAAGTTACCCTATTTGAAGTGCAATGTGTACAATAAAAATACCATTTCTCACATACTGCAACTGCAGATACCCAGTCATCATGTATGAGGCAGTCTTGTGGTTCAGGAGGAGGATGTTTGACAATATATTCTACATTAATTACTTCTTCTACTGAAACACCTCTTTCTCCAATATGTTCAGCTAAAGAAGTTCTCAAAAATTCAGAGCATACCAGAAAATCAAATTCTACTTCATGGCTGATACCACTTGGTTCTGTAATAAATATAAGATCTTAGAAATATATTTAATTAAGTGCAAATCTAGCTTTTGATGAACATAATTACCTTCTAAAAGTTTATTTACAAGTGCATTTAATTCTGATGCAAGTAATGTAGCAGGCACTGAATGAGGGGTATCTGGAACAGCATATCTAAAAAATATATTAAAATTAATTATAAGGTAGATTAATTTACAAAAGTAATATTATTGTTTATATGTAAAGCTTTTGTAATTACAAAGTGATTTCTAATATAACCTAAAAAAGTTAAAAGATTAATATTTTCACGAGAAGATAATTGTTCTATCCATGATTAACAAATGTTGAGTCAAAATTAATAATGTCATCTACTTGTTGAATAATTTACTGTTACAAGAGGACTGAAATTATTAAATTAAAAATACTAATAACGAAAACTTCATCGGAATAACCTTACTTTGAGATCTAGTAAAAGAAACGGGACCAAAGACTTACTGTTGTTGTTTTGTAACAAAACGAATTTGAATTTGCGGTGTATCGGTATCTACACTTTTACTAGCCATTCTGACTATTTAAAAACTTTTTAAACAGTACTTTATAACTCCACATAAAATGCGTTGGTAAATCGTACATTGATACATGCGGTTCCAAGCTTACTCTGCAAAGACATCTTAATTTAAGAAACTGTACATTTTAGAAAGAGATAGTGATATGCCGGATTCTACTGAGTGCAATGAAGATAGACTATGAAGGAGTTTACTGCGCACAAGATTTCACGCTTTCATTGCACAACAAGCCTTCTCACTCACACACACACAGCTGCGCAGTATTATTGTGCAAAAGTACACATATGTAGTAGTGACGATTGTCAATCGCATCAGCTGTTTAATTTTTGAGGTTATGTTGAATTTGTTATAACTGCTATTTTTTTTAATTTATCGATGTTTGCCACGGGAAATGTCAACCGATTTGGAAAAGGCGGACAGTCGTACGCTACTTGAGTTGAAAAAGCATATCAAAGCTGACTCCAAAGTTCACATTCACAGCTGCTTGACTCGCGTCAAAGAGAACCAACAATGCTGCAAGCGCTTCATCAAGGCTGGTGGTCTCAAATTTTTGGTACAGCTTCTGCGATATCAGGATCAAAAGGTTATCAATGCCGCACTCAGCATCCTTGCCAATGTTTGTCTCAATTCGGATGTGAGGCAGCAGGTGAATTGCAACTCACTCACCATTTTTTCTTTCTTTGTCTTCAATAAATACTTGTGTGATTTAGCATAGGTTGTATATCTATATATATGTGTGTTTATATACTTCTCTATTATGTCATCCATTAGTTTCTGTATTTGTTGAAAGTTAGCTATATTATTTGATACTGAAGTAAGGATGATTTTTTTCTAGGTGCAAGACACCAATATTGTGTCCTATACTTTATGGATTTTAAATAATCTTGAAGTAGGTGATACTTTGCACTGTCGAGCTTGTAGATTAATTGGTAATCTCTCGGACTGCATTTCATATGCTAAAGCATTTTACAATGCAGGTGCTATACAATCTTTGAATTATGTCTTGCGTACGAAAGCTAATCAACAAACTTATACAATGGCCATTAGAGCAATAAGGTTGGTCTATCTCTTTATATAAAAACAAAATTATGTATGCAAATTTTGTAAAATTTTTAACTTAAATATTTTATCTTTATTTTTAGAAATATATGGAGCATTTACGATGGCAGTCATAGAAAAGTTATAGAGAGTGGAGTTATCAAATCCATAACGTCAATCTTCATAAGTGCAGGAAAGAAAACTGAATCTAAATATACAGATTTGTCAGAAGCCTGCATGAAAGCATTTTTAGCTTTTCTAAACAGCTGTAGTAATGAGTGTGCCAATCAAATGATAGGAGAAAAGCAAGAGGGTTTCAAAACTCTGATGAAGTTTTATGAAGCTCAAAATAAATTAGCGATAAAGTGCATCTATTGTTTAACCGCGATACCAGAATGCAGACCTCTGCTTGGGGACTGCGACGTTGTCGAAGCCACAGTGCTTCTTGTGCAAGGCTGTTCGTTTTATTTAAAAGAAATCATAGCTTGTCTGTGTTTGTTTTGTCGCGAAGCTGTTAATCGTATTCGAATTCGTTATTGTTACGGTTTGCAAGTTATCCTTGATCTGCTAAGAAAAGAAGATCACGAAAGGTATCATCCATTGTTGTTGCACGGTTTGGCACAGTTTATTTGCGATGACGAAAGTATTTTAATTATGGTGAAGAATGGTCTGCTTGATGTTTTAACTAACAAGTTACAAAAAATGTCCATTGAGTTGCCTGACGATGCAGATGAAAAAGCAACGCCCAAAAAACGCACGGCAGATCGATCGCCGTATAGAAAAGGAGACCTCAAGTATAATAGAACCCATTTAGGAAGGTAACACATATAGACATTGCGATTTTGATGAAGTTGTTGAACAGTTTGTAAATATTTATTTTTACTTTTAGATTTAGTTCGGATTATCCGCAAGACAATTTAAGTCCAAGAAGTAGGAGAAGCGATTTATTAACACCGCCGAGTACACCGCCCATGAAGCTATTAGGTGGGGATGAAGATACTGACGATGTTGCTGAAGAAAACTACAGTCCCGTGTGCAGCGACAATGAGTGGAGCGATCAAGGTATTTTTAATCAAAACATTCATTTATTATCAATTTGATTACTAACACTAAAACTTATTTAAATAGAGCCGCAAGAAGAAGTGGAATCGTTGAAAAGTTTTTCTTCTGCCACAGTCGAAGTTGAAGAAGCTCAGGAGAAAGTTTCGAAAACCGAATTGAACAAACACATCAACGCGTGGACTCTCGTATTACTCAGTAAATTAAGTTACTCGGATGATCCAATCGATAGGCTCGCCGATCCAGCTACAATTGGACCTCTTGCCACTTACGTGAGATTAGCGAAAAATCCAAAAGCTTCACGTATACTCGTTAGGATAGTCAAGTAAGCTCGTTCTGCGTCAATAAACTTGCTCATTATATTGATCCTCGATTGTTAATTTTGCATCTTTTTTAGAAACAAAGCCTATTTGATGCCGTTAATAAAACAAGGCTTCGTCTTTGAGGTGCAAAATCTAAGTGGTCACGAACAGTATACTCGACAATTGTGTGCACTCGCAGAAACTGGTGGCGCAGTGGGGGAGCTCGCGTCGATTTTACTGAGAGGACAAGAAACTCATCGTTCCGTTATCGCCCTATCTATACCATTTCTCATTAAGTCCAAAGACCTACTTCGACAGTTGTTGAATACTTACGGTGGTCTGCCACTCATTTTCGACGCGCTGTCGGACAGTGAGCACAGTCTACACAAAGAGGCTATCTGGTCGATTTGCCAGCTTGCCGACTCACTGGATGTGCGACCTGAGGGAATCGATAAGAATCAGTCTTCTGAGAATGGTTTTATTTATCACGATACTAGTCTGGTGAATAAACTTTTCTATGCATTTATTTTATCGATGAAATTATATTACGCTAAAAACTCTACAATTTTTCACTTTATTCTTTCAGCATGGCGTAGAAAATTACGTGAAACCATCAACCGTAACATTCGAATTAGATGATGGCTCAACGGTGGACGCTTGTCGACGGTTACTTTGTCAACGGTCCGACGCTTTTTCAGCCATGCTTGAAGGCAATTTTTCCGAATCTGGCAAGCGATGTGTCAAGTTACGGAACACTTCTAGAGAGGGTCTAAATACTCTTCTTCTCGCAGCTAATGGGTCTGACTTTAACCATCGTACGATAGAATCCTTACTCGATGCTGTCGTACTTGCTGACAAATTCCTCATGGCCGATATCTCAGAGTTACTTACCGAAAGTTCCATCTCCAAACTCAATTACGAAAACTGTTGCCGAGCTTGGTCATGGGCACGTACCAATCAGTGCAGCGAATTAAGACTTTGTTGCGTTAAAAGTTTTCTAACGACAAACATGACTAGAGCTGAGAGGATTAGAGCATTCAACGAGTTTTCTACAAGCGAAAACTTCAAGGAATTTTTAGATGAAATCCTGGAAATTATCAGCGGTGTGCTCCTACGGCGTTGAAAAAACTTACAGGTACAACATTGGATAATATTATTAAGGGTACGATTTTCGCTCACCCGAAAACCTTGAAAAGTACGCGTGACAAGTTGTATGTAAAATACAGCAACTTTAAATCAAAACTAGCCAGTGATTTTCGGAAAGCTGAAGAAGTTGATCATCTCTGCATAGGTGTAGAAAAACTAAGAAAATTGCATCATTTTAGGAGCGGTTGAATCACGTAAACTTTTCAAGCGCTATAAAGGTTAGAGAAAAGTTTTGTAGGTGACCTTTTTAATACCATTATTTAGAACTGAATTCATGTACATTTTATAAATATGGAGTTTTATTATTATAACTCATAAATTTAACTTTGAATATGATTAAAATACGAATAATACATTTATTTTCAATAATGTTTTACTCTAATGCAGGAAACATTTTTAGACTCGAAAAGCTTGTGCGAAAGTGTACAATGTTATATAAAGTTCTATTATCGGTTGAAGTTCTAGTAATTACAGTTTATAAATGATTAAGTTAAGATTTCCTCTCTAAAATTCATAGATATCTTAATATAAAGAATATGAATGTATATTCGAATACAAGTTTGTCTGATGATGAATTTATTTTTGAAACTTAAATGCATTCATTCAAAGGCATAATAAATATTTTATTGCATAAAATCTTGAAGCCTTCTGTAACATCCTCAGCATATATTGCATAACTTACTTACAAAATCTATCTTGTTTTAAAACAGTACGTATTGATATTTTCAACCCATGTTATAAAATAATTTAATTTTTCTTATATGTTATTTGTACATTAGTCTATTTGTTAAAGATGAAATAAATCTATAGTATTAGTTTTCGTCGTATTAATCTCGTAATCTGTTATTTTTATATAAATTTGTGGTTTCGATGAAATGACAAATGGAAATTCGACTTTGTTCATAGCTAATCCTTTCCAATAACTCACTTGCAAAAATGGTTATGTGAACGTGCTGCTAATTCTATTGTATATCAACCTTATTCTATAAAATATCGTCTAATAAATGCAATTGAATTATATCAATATTCTCACTTGTGCATAATAAAAGAATCTACGACACATTTGTACATAATTTGAGGCCATACTATTCGCCCGTATTATAAATCAATCGAGTATTTGAGCAATTTTTTTTTATATATAACGATAGGAACAATGTTTATCCATAGTTAAATTAATATGTTCTCTATCATATCGATGTAACTGAAATAGTTTTATTCATGTTCGATAACTAATGAAGAAAATTGAATTGAAATTAATTTAGTTGTATATTTTGTTTGGAATTAATTATTTGTATTATTTAAAGGCATACACACGGAAAATAAAATTAAAAAAAATATTTGGTGTCACTTATTTCAATGCTTCATTTCAACAGGAGAAGAGTTACTAGCATTTAATTAATTCACCGACTGGTCGGTGAAAAGTAAAATGATGACGTAATTATGAAAGATATGCTTAATCTTCTTAAATCGAGTTTATTCATTCTCTAGGTGTGTATGTACAAATAGAAATATTTCTTAATATATTCTCTCTTCGCAATGCATAAAATGTGACGTATAAATGAAAGCAGAAAGGCATTGAAATGGTTCGCATTCATCTGCAAAAGGCTACTTCTGCTTTTCAAAAATATATCTCTTTACAATTAAGATTAATATAACTCTCAAAACAGTTCTGCGTACTTCTGAAAGTTCAATAGTCAGCACAGGCTATACAAGTAAAAATGTATCATCAATCTCTATGCGCCAGTTGAATTTGCAACGGTTCCGAGGGGGCAGATATCATCCTCAACTTGATCGTGACTTGGTCTTTGTTCAAACATCTGATTTGAAAATGTCTGAGAATCTGCGAAAAGCGAAAAGTAATTGGAACAGCTGTAGGAGGGATTGCAAACAATCGCAAGCTTACCTCAGCCATCGTGAGTGACATCTGCGTTTCGGCAAGCTTCCTGCCAACGCAACTTCTCGCGCCCATAGCAAACGGCAGCGTCGCGCTAGGATTGATCACAGCGTCAAATTCTCCGCGATCGTTGCGCAGCCATCGTTCTGGCCAAAAGTCTTGAGCTCTGGGGAAGTTCTGCTCGTCCCGACCACAAGAGTACAGCGAAATAACGACGAGCTCCTGTGCAGCCGCGTGAAAAATTAGAAATCGAAAGACCGGAAGTGAAAGCACACTGCAATACTCACGCCCTTGTGAGCCGGATATCCAGCTAACAAAGTGTCGTGCGGCAAAATCCTCGTTATGAACGGCGCTGTCGGATATAGCCTTAAGGACTCTTTGATCGCGCCTTTGAGCAAGGGTTCCGCGCAAACTTCCGCTTCCGAGAGTCCTCGCACGGCTTTGCAGATGTTTTCTTGAGCTTCGGGATTGCTGGCCATCAAGAATAGCAGCCATTGCATCGAATATGCTGTCTGAAAATTTGTTCGGTTAAAGCACTGGCAAGTGATTCATTGGTTCTGTAAGAATTTAACGGAATAACGGGTGTTAATGCTTGCTCCTCGAAAGAAGCCAGAAACGCCCGACAAGTCAACGGAATTCGGCTCACCGTATCACCAGCCGCCAAAATCAGATCGACAACAATCCTCTTCAGTTCATCGCCAGTGATGCCTTTGGCAATCATACGGTGGGTAAGTCCGTCTTGGGCGTCCTCGAGCTTTTCCATTTGCTCGACGAATCGGTCGACAGTGCCAAGTGCGTAATCCGCGGTGGAGACGAAGCCGCGCCACGAGGGTAAGTTGATCAGCATCGCCAGTCGAGCCGAGATTCGCGATAGGTGTACCGAATGCTCGAATATGCGACCTAGATTGCGCGATAGTATCTCCAACTCTGAGATTATGCTACATCGGAAGGTCTTCCATGGTTTGCCCACTAGTGTTGCCAGTAAGACTGTCGAGTCAACAAACAATCGTTGGAAGTGCAACAATAAATACTTGCTTAATGAATTGCTTGTCGAATATGTGCCACCGGCCAGAATTGAAAAATGGTGCAATTGTTTGATGCAATAGTCAATCCATTTCCGGCCGTCGTGAAACTTATTCGCGATGTTGACCCAGATACAGTGAAGCCAGCCAAAAGGGCAAAATTACCTTCAATTGACCATTGATACAATTGGTTCTCAAGATCTGGCACGATCCGATCGTTGTTTGTGTAGCTCTTCCACTTTTTTACCAGATCCTCCGCTGCCTCTTGACACGGCTTTGTCATCACTTTGCTCGAGTCTTGAGCTAACATTATTTTATTGAGTATCCGTCGATAGTGCATCCATTCTTGACCTTCCCTAAGAGAAAATTATGCATATTTTCGAATCAAATCGTTTCGGTTTCGATCACCAATTTTTTTACTATCATTCTTTTAAAACTATAACTGTCATTGGAATAATTATCAGCGATAAAAACTGATTGAGAGAAGCTCCAGAGTGAGATATATAGTCGGACAGTTGCACAGACTGCTCCCAAAATAAACTTGTATACAAACTGCTGTGCGTCCGCGAGCGCAACAAAAAGCTCCGATAACGCGGTCACTTACCCGCGCGTTGCAATGTGCATTTCATTTAAAGCGAACGCATACGCCGCCGCGAAATGAAGCTCAATTAAGACGATAAAAAGAAAAGTGCGAGATGCGCACGAGAGCAAGAGCAGATTGACATATGTTTTGCAGTGGCTTGCTCTTCATAAAAATCCGCGTCATCGCGCCGCTTCAGGAAGTCGCGCCTTTTCGCGTGTAATCGCTTTAATTTGCAATCTCCGCATATATGCGCGCATATATTGACTTTGTATATCGTTCGCAGAATGGACGTGGGCAGTTGAAACATTGTTTACACGCGAGACATGCTTTTAATGTCTCTTGATATTATTGAACGTATGATGGCAAAAATTAATTTTATATCAGAAATATTATTACATCGATGGTTTCTTTACGTTCAGCTGTTCATAAAAGCAGTGATAAAACAAGATTAATTAAGAAGAACTGTCGCACAGTTATGCTTGAAGCGAGTCAGTAATTGAAAGGGAACCATCTTGAAAGAATATCCGTTCGCACGAGCCCACCCTCCATTCGAACAGGTTGAACGTTCCAGAGATATGCGCGAGCATGCATTGTTCATTTTAAGGAAAAAAAAAACAAAAAGAGAAAGAGAAATCGAGGTGAAATACAGAAGCAGCTCCTTGTTAAGGTCGGCAATAATATAAAGTCGATAACTGGCGCAGGTTTTACTTGATATCAGGCTATTCCGATGAGCGTGCGCGCAACCAAAAAATCAGTCGTACAGCACGGCTCGAACTTTTCTGTGGAATGTCGAAATAAACAACTTTCTCGAGGAAGATCATTCGTGAAAAGTGTTTGCCTAAATCCCATCACTCTGGAGCTTGACTGCAAGGTGAAATTTGCAAAGCCACTCACATAAACAACAATCCTCTCTTCCGACTCCTCATCCGATTATAAAGCAGCCAAGCTTCCGGCACAAAGTGTTGCGGCGTTGGGCCTTCAATTCTAAACACCTCTCGAATAACTTTGGGCGAGCTGACGAAGATAGCTTTGACGGGACCGACTCTGCCGCGAAACAGCGGCCCATACTTGCGATGCCTTTCGTCGACGTACTCGTGTAATCGTTTGCCTTGCTCCGAATCGAGAATCGACGTGATAGCACCGAGCATCGGTAGTCCACGGCAATCGGGCATTTCAGCCAGATTCGTCACTGCGGTACGTGCCGCCAGATTCGATAACTTGCCGATGCGATTCATCGTGGATTTTGCTACCTGCATTTAACAATTGCCGTTTTTCTTTTTTGTTCTACGAATCAAGACTTTGACGCCGCGTGTGACGTTGCTGCTTCGAAGGCTCGCGAACGACTGCGCGAAATCCTCGATATTTGTTTTATAAATTTTCGATATAGATCGATCAAAATAAACGGGAGGTTACACAACGAACAGCAATGTCGATGAGTAATTGGATTTTGGAGAGATTTCGCTCAGCTATTCAGCACGTGGATATCGGTTAAAATTGAAAAACAACAAGTGTAGAAGCGCGTTAATGTTATTTACTGAGTCTGCGTAATGCTTCACAAAGATTATTTACTCAAAGTCTTACACGCTCATTTTCTTAATTAATTCTCCGCCAAGTTTACCATCGGAAAACCTACTTTTCATAACATTATTTATTTATATACCTGAAACGCAACAGCTAGCAACGATAAGATAAACATTTTGCAAAAAGATATTACGACGGCAGTTTGTTCAAATGCGCCTAGCAATTTGCTTTCTCAACTGTTCACCCAAGACTTTTCTTTATTATCTATTTATTATCTTGCAAAAAACTGTTTTCTCCAGCGTTTCGTCCACTGCACGTTTTCATTGGCTTATGTTTATTTTTCAGCGGCTTATCGATCAATATCAATTCTAACGCTATCTAAATTCATATTTTTTATTTTAAAACGTAATTATGGTTTTTTTCATAAACTTTTCCGTAGACTATAAGTGATCGGCGTTAATTAATCTTCAACAACGTTAAATGTGCCGCGAATTTATTTTTAAAACTGATTCCCGAAATTATTACAACGTCTACCGAGTAAACAAATAAAATTCAGTTATTTATAAACATTTATTTTAAATGGGGAATGCGTCATCTGTGTAATTATTCGAAATGATAGAATTTTTCGCGTTTTAAAAAATAACCAGTTTATTGGCCGGAGTTCTGCGGTACTAGCTTTGCGAATATATCAATAAATATCACGGTAACAAGTTGCGTCATCAATTTAATCCAGCATCTTTGCAACTTCTCGCACAATAATAAAAAAAAATCTGCGGAAATCTGTATTCGATCTAACAAAGATTTGTCGCGGAACATTGCTTTAATTTTGAGAATTTCATTGAGCTTCGGGCAGCAAAGCATATTTTACTTGAAATTCCACGACTACATAAACAACGAAGCAATGTGGATCGTCCGTGCACCGGTAAGCAAATCTCTGAATAAGAGTGCGCGAAAAACAAGAGAGAGAGGAAAAAAATGCGCTGCGATTGCACTCACCTGGGTGCAGACGTCGACGAGGAGAGGTGCAGCAGCAGCAGCAGCAGCAGCAGCGGTAGCAGCAGCAGCAGCAGCAGCAGCAGCGGCAGCGGCAGCAGCAAAGGTGCCTCGGCGTTTGTTTTCATCTTCTTATCGTGCAGCTGGCCATCATCATCAGTACGATTGCAGTGCCGCGCAACTTTATCAGCATCGCCGAGCCGCCTGCATTTGTCCAGTGCTTTCAGCACTCTACGGCGAATAACAACGGAACTGTGTATTTAACGTTGACGCTGCGGAATTTAGCGCGCTGCGCTATTTATTTCCCTTCGACGCCGAATTTCCGCCGATAGACGGGACATTCTGAACGTGGCAGCGAAGTCCATGACAGGAGGAGTATGTAGGCGATGTGACGCTTATATTTCTAATCGACTGGAATAGGCGACTGTCGAACACCTGTGCCAATGTCGCGCGCGCGCCGCTGCCGACGCCACCGCCGCCACTTCCAATTGTTTTCTAGGGCTCGACGACTGCCAACTGTGTTTCGCTTGGTCGAAGCGCGATAGGTGGTCGGACTTCACTCGAAGCAGTCCGAAGAAGGCATCGCCACGCGGAGAGATCGTCCGAGAGGAAACGACGAGAATGACGAACGCGTACTCGGCGCAAATCTATGAAGATCGCGCGCACCTTGTACAGTTGACATTGAGACACAAGGCAGTACAATGAAAGCCGACTCGCATCTGAACAAACTGACGAGCAATCTTGCCAGCAGCATTATCGAGCACATTTTCCTGCTCGACTCGCTAGGAGTATTTCACGCGTAATGCGCATAGGAGCGCGGCGTGCAAACGACGATCGAGACTCGATCCACAAGGAATGCTGCCGTATCGAAATTGTCGAAGCGGGAGGCGAGCGTAAAAAAGGCTCTCTCGTTGCGTGGGAAAGGGGCTCCGGGCTCTCGCGCTCGCGAGCTGCGCGTTTTTAAAGTGCAACGCGCGAAGCCGTTATGATGATTTCCGCGTGGATCTCGAGGAAGAGAGGAAGTCCCGTGGGAAGAGAGAGAAGTGGTTGAGGCTTTTAGCGCTTCTTCGAATTCCCCCCGTATGGCTCGTCGCGCGGTTTGCTGAATTGACAATTTCGACGCTGTTATTTCAGTGCTACAAGACCGCTCGAGACGGTCAAAACACAACAATATAGGTTGTTGTTAGGCACGACATAGGTTTCAAGATCGATTACTGTCGGACGATAGCTCGGCTATTCGCAAATAACAGTCGCCCAAAGAGCTTTCTCCAACGCTTTTTATGTGAAACGCGCTCGCAGCGGTTACAGACGAAAATGGGATTTGTCAAAGCGCAGCGGTTATCCCTTTCGTCTATGAGCCTACTTTGAAAAACTCGTTTCAGAGAATGTCTTGATTAGTTGCACGTAGCTGCCTAATCGTCGTAGCCCGGAAATTCTTTTCTCAATTCCGTTTATTTAACTCATATCATCATTTCAAAAATTTCGCTCTCACAATAATCGATCTTTACAATTTATGTGCTGTTTATACCGTCCTTCTTTTCCGAGTATACATTTATGAACGAATTAGATAGGAAAGTACGGCATCTTTCCAGGGCACCAATCGTAACAATGAATTTTTATGCTTAAGAAAGGTCTGATCAGCATGCAAATTGATGGAATCGATTAATAACGGGATATATTGAGAAGATGCGCAATAATAAACAAATAAAAAAATTAATTATTCTTTTGAACGATTGATTATACTTTTTACGGTACACGTGATACACAAATCGGAAATAGTTTGTCATTAATTACAAAAGCTTGTCGTGAATTGACAATCTTTTATGCAGATAAAAATAATATTAGGATTGTCCATTAGGTTCAATCACCTACATCGAGTTGATTAACAATATTCGTTTGCACTGAAAGTTTCACCAATCTTTTTTGGAATAATCAATAAGAAAGTCGACCGTTGATCTCCGCACAAACGTCAGCGTGTACTTACCTGTAGCAGTCGGTCTTGAATGCGAAAGATAAATAAAGTGTTGCAGGCAAAATGCGAGCACAGATGCCGAGCAACCCTTACAGAACTGTATAAAGCTCGAGCGTGAGAGTGAGAGGGGGAGAAGAGCAGGCTGGCGTTCTCGTCGGAGTGAAGCTGAAAATCCTCCTTATCGCAAACCCACGGCTTAGAAAGTTGACGAGACGTGCACTTTCTCCGGGTGTCCCTATCTGCCTGGAATTTTTCGGTGGAGGCACTATGCTCAATCGTGCTCCTATGCGTGGCCGAGAGACACTGAGTCGCGCCGCAACTATAAACCGCGCGAACTACCGCGCGAGAGAAGGAATGAAAGAGAGAGAGAGAGAGAGAGAGAGAGAGAGAGAGAGAGAGAGAGAGAGAGAGCGCAGAGAGGAGGTTCCCTTTCTATCGCTCGAATGCGATACTGGTAAATACTCCATGGTCAGGGTCGTCCTCGCCGCACGAGGTTCTTGCCTTCCTTGCGCCACGGAGAATGTGAGAGAGAGAGAGAGAGAGCGCCGAGGAGTCGTATCGCGCGATCCTATCTGTATACGCTATAAGGCTTAGACTTAAGAATGCTTTCTAATGTGTTTTATTCGACGTTGATGTCGGGACCAGGTGATATACTGCGTCCGCAGATGAAGTGCATCCGATCCGACTCTGTTTGGAGAAGATCACATATGTACAGGGATATCAATTAAGCTTTTAGCTTGAGATATACCTTGTGAGTAATCTGAATAATCGGTTGAACGATAAATCAGGCATTAATATTGTTCAGTGGTGTATTCGCTGACATAATCATGTACCGCTTTATCCCCTATATATTTATATCATGACAAAGGTCATTTGCTCTTTTTGCCGATTCCTATGAGATAGCGCCCATCCTTCGGTCTGAATTAATCCGCAATAACGAGGACGATCACCTTGACTTCCTGGCTGGCTTATTTTTTCGCACCCGTTGATGATTTTCTAACGAGCGCTGCGCCGTGTCACGGGCGAAGAAAAATAATAAGCATTTTATATAATGCGGAATTGGATTATCGTATTGACATTTTTCTCGCGTAACGTGTACAGTTTGATATTAAAATATCAAAAGTATAGATGCTTTAATCGATGATCGCATACAAAAAGTAATGGACATCAAAGGCGCCTTTTGCAATAATTATTTTTAACAAATAAACTTATCACATATAGTATAAATGATAAGTTCTTGGAAAAGACTCGTTGGCACAAAAAATTTTTTTTGGTAATGGATATATATATATAAATATTATTTTCAGCCCTTGAAAATGGAAAATGAATTTTTCCGAAACGTTGGGAATTTTCAAATAAATTTGTGTACTGAGATCACTATAACCTCTTACTATTCTAACTATTTTTCAGTTATATTATTGAAAAACGGACTAAAATTAAAAGTACGGATCGCTCAACTCAAAAAAGTAGCCAACGAAAGTAAGGAAGTTTAATTTACAAAACGGAATGCAAAGTGGAAACCGTAATCCTTCTAATCTTTGCTAGACAACTTGCCGGATAGACCTTCAGCGCGCATAGATATTTAACTTCAAAAGTCCGCAACCTTGTCTACGCGGACAAGTCGCTGTGATATTTGACAATATACATTCAAGCTCGTGAATATGGTAATGAAGCCAATGAGTTCACCGATCAATTTACGCCTTTCAAACTATCAATTAATATGTTTGAACCGATGACTTTTGTACGCTTGTAAACTTGCTATGATTCCATTTTCTTAGCGCAAAGATATTTTTTCTTTTTATAAAGTTCGAAAAATATACGTATCAAGAGATTTGTTGAACATATTATTATTGTGGCTCACTTGAAGTGGTGGTCTCACTGTTAAATATATTTTCCATGATCTGACTTTGAAGAAGGATACGTAGTTTTATTTCGAAAATTTTCCTGCGCAACAGACATTACCATTACCAGTTCTGTTGAATCGACGTTAATCGTACTTCACTTACTCACTGAAAGTGTGTAACAAGGTGATGCAGCAGTAAAATGTTAACATTCTTACAGCTTTGTTTTCAAGGTATATTAATAACTGTTTGTTCAGCATATCGTTAAAGTTTTGTCCTTTTCAAAGTTATTCATCTTAGCTATGTGACTCTAAGTGTAGTTTAATCGCGCGGTTGAATTTGTCTTGTATATCGCTTCATGAATCACAGCCTAAAATCTACGGACTAAACGTAAGTAACAATTATTTGGTCATTAGCAATGTATGTACACACGAAGGAGAAAACAAACGCGAAAAGCTTTACACCATTTGTCATTCGTGATCAACGTCGTTAGGCTCACTGTCAAGAGTATGACGTTTTTTTCAATGATTTCAGTGCTGTTTATCGTTCAATTTTTTTTTAATATAATATTATATCACAACGATTTCTCTCGAGAAAAAATAAAACCTTGACTTATTGAAAGAGTCATATTTCGTTTGACACAGAGGTATATTCTATCAAAACACTTCACCAGTCTAAAAAAAAATTGAAGCGGCCGTAAGTAAACGTGACGCAATATTAGAAACTGGTATAGCCCGCATTAACATTTGGACAGCGTGACCGAACCCACTCAGTCGCAAACAGTGCCGTATCTACAGCCGAATTGACAACAGCCTTATATGTTGCGCAGCGCGCGCGAAATTGTATTAGTCAAAAGAAATGACAACGTCAGTGAACCTGTATTTAGGTATTTAAACAGTGCATATAATGTCTGAACAGTCTAATATCAGTTGACTTGGCCGTGGCTCCATACTCCAAAATATATATCTCGAGGTCAACAAAAGCAGCAGTGGGTAATCGATCGACATTTACGATAATGTTGCCTATATAAACCGGCGCGGTTCCTGTACTTGGCTTTTTCATTCAGCTATGTTACTTAGTATACACGGACTCTTCAGCTGCGCACTTACATACACACACACACATATATATGTATATTATACAATTTAGTCTAGTCAGTTTAGTGGCGACGACGGTTTATAACGACGACGCTTAAGGCAGTGCAGTTTTCGCGCGCATTCACGCATTTTTCCAGTTCGACGACGACGGAGAGAGAGTGAGTGAGTAACGAAGAAAAAAAAACAACGACTCCCGAATTAACATGGACACCGATGTGGAGAGTTGTCTGAAAGATTGGAATGATCTGCAGGGCGACTACAAGGAACTCGAGGTCAGTTGCCACTTTGGATATTTATATTTGTGTGCTTTTTTAACAGGGTCGCTCGATCACCGTGCGAAGGTTATGAGCGTGATCATTCAAATTTTCCAAGTTGCTCGATGATATATTTTTTTAGAGCTGTTGATTTTCGTGATTAAAAATACTTTCAAAAGAAAGACTCTAGTGGAGATAAGATGTTATCGGATAGAATCTTGAGTGTTACTGTCGACGAGTCCGCTTTCCAGAAAAATCTCGATTTGTTTGCTCATACCTAACCTCACAACGACGACCTTTCACCTTTGTAAACACACTTCCTTAATTGCAGCCGAAATTAATGATTGTATTTTTGATTATCTTGACTTTGCTTATCTTTGCTTTCTTTATGTAACTTACGAGCTGTCGGCAAGTGTAAATGATTAAATCGTGGGATTGTTCTGAAAATGTATCCATTTGAAATTTTTAACGTTACAGTAATTTGAGTATTCGTGTTACAGGCGCTCAGTAGAACATATTTAGCCAAACTTGAGGAAGTAGGAGAATTACAAAAAAAATGTGTGAATGGAATAAGTCATCAAAAGTATCGTATGGGAGTTATCAAAAAAAGTTTGAAACAGTAAGTTCTGCAATATAAATATCATATAATGTAAATATACAGATTTCTTGTATGATTCATTTTTTATCACAGACTTCATGCAAGCGATACAAGGAAAGCATTAGACAAAGAAATGCTAAGGAGAGAACAACAATTACATGAAATTGAACAAACATTGCCAAAACCTAATGGCACTTATCTTTCAATTATATTAGGTAGTGTTAATGTCTCTATATTGAATAAAAATGACAAGTAAGAATAATTTTCAGGATACTTCAGTATTTCCCTGAGCTAATAAATAAAAGTTTATTTAAAAACAATTGTTTATAGGTTTAAGTACAAAGATGAATATGAGAAATTTAAACTGGTTCTATCTGTGATTGGTTTTGTTCTATCTGTAATTAACTTAATCACTAATATAAGGTAAAAGTCATTTACTTCAATTACTTAAGAATATTGTTAATGTTAATGTAACAAATTTTCAATAGATAATTTTTATTCTAGGACACTGGAGTTAAGTTTCATGTTTCTACTAGTCTGGTATTATTGTACTTTGACGATACGAGAAAGTATATTAAAAGTCAATGGATCTAAAATCAAAGGTTGGTGGCGTTTCCATCATTTTCTGTCCACTGTTGTAGCAGGTGTACTATTAGTTTGGCCAAATACTGGTCCATGGTATGCATTCCGTCAACAATTCATGTGGTTTAATGTTTATATAAGTAAGTTACCTTTTCATTGTATATATATCATATTCTAATTTTCAAATGAGTCAATAATTATTTTTAAAAAAAATTTATAATAAAAATTAATATGATTATATTCAAAATAATATTTTAATTAATTAGAATATAGATTCATTTCATAAAATGTGTTACCTAATATACTGATTATTTTTCAAATCTTTCTGATGTTATTTGAAAACAGACTTATAGCAATAATAGCAATAATTTATAATAGTAATCTTTTTTAAAAAACAATACTAAACATTAAATATTATTTTCTACTGTCTAATGAGATATATTTATTTATTTATTTATTAAAGATAATTTATTGTAATTTTTTTTAGATTATTTTGACAAAAAATGATGTATTAATGTAGTAATATTTATTTTTCAGGTATAGTACAATATTTACAATTTCGTTATCAAAGTGGTGTTCTTTATCGTTTGAAAGCTCTTGGTGAAAGGCACAACATGGATATAACAATTGAAGGCTTCCACTCTTGGATGTGGCGAGGACTGTCTTTTCTATTTCCTTTCTTATTTGTTGGATACTTCTTCCAACTCTATAATGCCTATGTACTCTTCAAGCTGATTTGGCATCCTGAAGCTACTTGGCATGTATCAGTGCTCAGTATAATGTTCATGGTGCTATTCTTAGGAAATGTAACAACGACAATAATGGTTATACCGCAAAAAATGCGATCCAGAGTTATGGATCATTTCAGCTTTAGTGCAAAGGCAGTACCGAAAAAAGATGACAATCCAGAGGAAAAGCCTAAAGAAAATGATGCTAAAACAAGTAAAAGTGATTAAATGAAAGCCTAAACGACTTTAAGTTGTCGAAATCATTTTTAAGAGATGAGTTCGTCTTTCCATACAACTAAAGATTATAATAGCCTTTATTTCTGAACAGTTATAGAATTATTTATTTCATTCAATAATTCATCACAATGTTGACACTATAACACTTAAAAGTAAATGAAAATTACTTCTGTTCAACGTTTAAGCTCATTGCCACTATATTGCAACCAATTTGTTTTGGTTTATACAATTTATATATACGAAATTGTTTGTATTGAAGAAATCTTTTTATTAGTAATCTATTTTCTACGAAAAGGACCATGTCCAACTGGTCGTAATGATTTGTTCAAAAATCATTTACGAATATTGGTCAATAAGCGAAAAGCTCAACACGTATTTGAATATTTGTTGTAAATTAACCATCACGATAATGCATTGTGATTATTGTAAAGTACTGGTGTGGCTTGTCTAATGATAATTATTGTTAAAAACCTTTCGATGAAATTATTTGTTGTTAAAAAGAGGGACAGGGGTGTTTTTAGCCTACTTAGCTAATCGCAATTCCGGCCGGCTTGTCGCCCGAACGCGTCTAGGAGTAATAAAAGTTAATTCAAATTCCCATCTAGTCCAATACTCTAGCTCTATATTTATATACATCTACGTATATTGTTACGCACAAGATTCTTGTAGAATCGTTGCCATGTATCATTCCAATAGAGGGCTGACGGCAATTAGTAGACACTCGCGAATATGGAGAAAGTATTTAACAGTCCAGGAGGGAAGACCGTTAAGAAACATGTGGGTGAAAAAAGAAAGTATATATATTGGCATAATAGCTAATTTATTATTTTTTCATAAAAGTTGAAAAAGAAATATTTCACACTGCAAACTTCACTGCTCTTTCTTTAAATACAAAAGACTTGCTCTCTGTCTGATGTTATTTCTCGTTTGTTTATATATTTTTGTAAACATTTTTTACACGTTTTTAAAGAGTTATTAACTGAAAATCTTTCAAGTGGAAACTTTGTTTTTCAATTTTTACCATGCATGTATATGTCACTTATTATAATAGGTTTTTAATGATTATTTACATAGCATGTGATTGTAAATGATTTTTTTTTTGTTTGATTTTATTGTACTACTCACAATTACAAAATAAAGGATTTGTTTATTTACGTAATAAGCACGTTTATAGCATTTATTAGCTACAATTTTTATAACCCTACTACTAAACAAACAGTGTTGAATAACAATTTCAAAAATACGCTTCTTCTGCCTTTGAATCTGTAATAAACCGCACTGACGGATATTGATAATATACTAGATTACTGTCAATCGTTACTTTTAGATGATTTCAAAGTAATTTTGTATGTTATACAATGTATCTTGATTTTCTGTATTTTTAAAATAGTTTTTACAACGAAAAATGAAGAAAGTGAGAGTTATATTTTTCTATAAAATTATTCTTAATACATGGATTGTGAATTATTTTTGTAAATAAAGAAAACACTAGTTTTGTTTTCTCATTGTAACTCTAATAAAGCCACCCAATAAATGAAACAATAAATAAAAAAACAAGATAAAAAAACAAGCTGTACTTTGATCGAATATAAATTTGCCTTCGGAACACATTTTAAATCGAATTAAAAAATTATAAAACTCTACTGCGAAGTTCTCTAAAAGATTATTCAACCGAATTTCAGTTTACTCACAACCATGCATTTATATCAATTTTATAAGTTCATTTAAAGGAATTTCAAGTGTTAACACAATCTGATTTATACAAGTACAGTGGACTGCACATGTATATGCTATTGGAGAGTTCGCATGCATGCACGCAGTTGCATGGAAAAGCGTCAACTCTATAGTGTAGTAGAGGCGGCGGCGTCTGCAAGTACATGTACTGACGACCATAACTCGCAGTCATACCGTGCAGACACATTGCGATTGCTCAGCAATAGTTTTCTTTTTCTCTAACTTTGACACGAGAGTCAAGAAGATGCCGGTGCAAATATCGTGGCCTGTCGTTGTTGCTACCGTTCATCCAAATATTGGCGGGTGGATTGGTGGTATCATTACCAAAAAGAACATCAATCCTTGGTACCAGGTGAACAATCATTATCGTATTTCTTGCACTTTGTTATTCCTTATACTGCGCCGTTATCTTATTTATCGTGTGACTTGCGTTTGGAGCAAACTAGTTCTATTTTATTGTTGCTTTTTGCGTTCTTTATTCTTAAATTACCGATCGATCGATATTTTTTGGATAGGTTTTCCATAATTAAATGTTGTTGTTATCGATTTGTGAGAATCCGAGCAGATTTTGGTTAACTTTAATTCAAGTGGAACAGGTGTCACCCAAATATGCAATTACATCAATATATCGATCTATATGAAATAGTATACATAACAGTCATCAAGTGCATCGTTTTTTGTATTCGTGATTAGCAAACTTTGTTCTTTGACTTTACTTAAAATGTGCGTTTGTATAACGATATCATTACAGTAAGAGTACCAATTCGTCTTGATTTTGTTGCGCTAATTGAATGTGCCTTGCATCATGACTTCATTTTATAGTCGTTGAAGAAACCAACGTGGACACCACCGAATTGGGCATTTGGCCCAGTATGGACTGGAATATACTGCTCCATAGGATATGCCTCACATTTGGTTTTGCGCGATAGCGACAGTTGGGAAAAAGCTGCACTACCACTCTCGATTTACGGAGCTAATTTGGCACTCAACTGGGCTTGGACGCCTATTTTCTTTGGAGTGCATAAAATTAAATGGGTAGATAATCTTTAAATATAAAACAACGACGACGGTTGTTCAGAATCCGTAATATTGTGGGCAAAGTGAAACGAAAAGAAAATTAATTGGACAAAACTTCGCAATTGTCTAAATTAATAATCTCGTTATTGTTTCTCCATAGGCACTGTACGATATAGTTGCTCTTTGGGGCACTACAGTTGCAATGGCTGTGGTATTCTACAGAGTTAACACCACGGCCGGGCTGTTAATTCTTCCATACATCGCTTGGAATACACTTGCAACTGCTCTCAACTATGTAGTATATAGGGACAACGAATTAAATAACTCGATGCCATCCACCGAAGACAAAAAGAAATAGAATGTTGAACTTTTTGTTATGATAGACTTTTTGTCTATCCTATGCAATTTAGATGATACTTATTTTTATGCGATTGTTAAGCCTTGTTCAACAATAAGTTTCATACATGTCACTCCTGATCCCTGCGCTTTTATATCACCTACTCTTGTGTAAAAATAAAAAGATTTTTGCACTGAAATCACAACAAAAATAATCTTTTTTTATTTTTTATTACATACGCGTATTTATTCATCAATAAGAAATAAAGATCAAATAAAACATCTGCGATACATTACAACATATTATTTATCGTATGTGTGTGTGTACGCGCGTGTATGTGTGTGTGCGTGTGTGTGTGTGTGTGCACGCGCGTGTATGTAATTTAAAAAGTCACTATTCGTATCTTGGGTAAATAAATCATTATATAAATCAACTAAAAAAATTCACGTTATATTCCGCCTGTTTCGTAATTCATAATTCTTCACACTATTTTCGCTATAATTCCGGTCCTCCGTCGTCGTATTTGCATTTAAAAAGATAGCGTAAGTCGAATGCGAGATGGGATCGGGTATGAAATTGCACCCTGTTGTTGATATATATCCCAAGCGCTACGTCGGATCTGTCGCGTAGATGTAGCCCTGCTGATGCAGGACAAACAAGCGTTTTTCAACTGCGGCTTTATCTGAAAAAAGTGAACAAAGACAAATAATTTATAATTTTCTATCGACAATGAAGCATATTTTTCAGTTCAACAAAAGTAATTTTGATCTTTTTTTTGGAGATTCAAAGGAAACGAATAAAATAATAAGAAAAAATATTACTTACATTTGGTAAGAAGAGCTCTGTCTTCGCTGTGACTAACATGTTGCGACAATGAGTGCAACAAAATCTGCGCTGTGTGGTACCTTTGAAAACATTCAGCAGGATTGCCGAATAATTCGTCAAGCGCTGCTGACTGGCACTAAAAAAATTAAAAATGATATTAATCATCTAGTTAAAAAAAAATGAAAATCTTGATTTACTAATTACCATTTGTATAGCATGATTATATAGTATTTTATCTGCAGTAGCTCCAGTCTGCCGAAGCAATCCCGCACTGTTTAGCTGCTTGCATTCAGTCAAACATGACCTAAACTTCTCGTTCATTGCACTCACAACTAAAGAAACGAGATAAACGCAAATGAAAAACAAATGTTGAGTTCAATGTCAGAGCAGAATACTCACCCTGCTTGACTCTCGATGTTGGTTGCAATCGTCCCGCCTTTAACTGTTGGGTAGCTAAACTCAATCCCGAACTCAGCCACTGAAGTGCCCTGACCAACAGAATCACTTGTTCGGCTCTCTTCCTCGTAGCAGCATTACTAGGTTGTTGCTCAATTCCACCGAGGGGAACAGTTCCTAAAGGTCCAGCACGCGTTCTTGCAACATCGCAAACGCACTGGCTAAGAGCCATGACAAAGTTGAGTTTAGCCAAGACATCGTTGTGCTCGCGCCCGAGAATCGTGTCTTCGGGTAATTCTGGCGGGGCAAAAGTCAATGGTCGTTGCTCCTCTGCGGTGGTAGACGATAAATGCGGGAACAAATTAATGAAGCCACCTGCCTCTGCATTTGCCAGAAATTCTTCTTTTGCGTTAGTTGTCAGCGTGTCGTGCAGGTAACACAATTGTGGTTGCACAAAAAGAAACAAAGACGCACATTGATGAAGTCACTTGCAGAGTGTGAATGCATGACTGAATACATGTGTGTATGTGATAGTGGCGTGTTATAGAATTGAAGTATCAATTTACTTTTTTTTTTTATATTGCATTCCCGTACAGTATTTTATTAACAAATGTGCAGTTGAAAATTGCATGATGGTGCAAAAAATGCAAATAATAATTAATGAACTTAATGAAAAACTGCTATTTATTTCCAATTGATATATGTAATTGTAACCATAAAAAAATGATTATAAAATCGTAAGCGACGAAATACTACAAACACTCAGTGAACAAAACAAAAGAATGGCCAATTTCAAAAGCTATATCCGGCATGAAATAAAAACTCACCTGAAATCTCCGGCAGAGTGACAGCCCTCGTGCCAAACGGAATAATTGGTGATTGCCTCAACGAATTATTGTTGTCCTGAAGTCCTCTGGCATTAGGCGAACCAAGAACTGCAAGAGGTCCAGTGAGTAGTGGTGATGAAGCGCTGTTCTGTCCAGATGACCGACGTAATGGTGAAGTACCACACGAGGAAAGTGGATGCTTTGTAACTGGACTCACTTGCCAAGTATTAGGTGGTGGTGGTGTCTCACTCATCCTACGCATAAAATACAAAGTTAATTTCGTTTCAATACTGCACGCTGACGGAATTCGCTAGATCTGTTCGCCCATACTATTACAGATATTTATATTAGTCTTTGTAGGCAGCCACAGATCGAAACATTTTAACATGCAATCAAAAAATGCATCGGAACTTGTTTTTATTATTATTATTATTATTTATTGACAACTGCATTTGAACTTCATTAAAAATTCGCTTGCAGAGAGTGTCTCTTTGGCTAGAACACTGTCACTCAAAAATAAATATACTGTGTAAATATCTTTCCAAAACAACTGACCTTCTGTTCGGTGGAGTTCCAATGGCAAACTGCACGCTTGGCGGACTAAGCGATCCAATATCAGCATAATTACGATGTGGATCACTGCCACGTTTCATACTGATAGGTTGACTACGAGGTACCACACTGTTAGCAGTAGACGAACGATTGGCCGAACCGTTCGAGAAAGCTGCTTGTCCGATGCTACGTTGCGTCGGCACGGGAATCGGCTCGGAAATCGGCAGGAAACATGGCCTCGGCGGCGAGGCGGTTGCTTCGCGGCTATGCTGCTTCATAGGCCTGCGCGTGTTAAACAACAGCTTTATTTTCTTGCTGCTTTCATAGTTGGCTGATTCGCAGGCTTTATTTAGAACTGCTGAACCACGTGCTGTTATTGCTATTTAGCGCTACATCAAGTGATATGGCAGACAACAAGAAAGGTGGGGGAGTTTACGTAGGAGTGTTTTTATTTTTTTTTTAGTATTTTGAAAAAATTTACTGGAAGCTAGTATGATATTGCGTTGTGATAAACTGTTTATACTTAGTTCTACTAGGAATGAATAAAAATATAATTTTTTAAAATCTTATTAAAATTTGACGTAGATTATTGTACGAAATTAGATATTTTATACGAATAGTTTGAGTGATAATTTCAAAATCACAAAAAGAAGTAATGACAATTTTTCATGTTTTTTCCAATTACAACAATAAAAGAAAAAGTATCAAATGTAAGAAAAATGAATTATTGTAGCATACTTACTTGACTTGTACTGGATTCGTATTGTTATCCATATCGCTACTAAGGTCACTAGGCACAAGTACAAAATCATCCTCGGGACTAGAGCACGGACTATTGGTCTCCGGTTCCGGTCCCGGTCTAGCATCAGTGGCTGTACTTTCAGGTGCAGTCATTATCACCGAGGATGGGGATAACTCTGTATGAACGGGGCTTGGATTTTCACGTGGACCTTGCAAGAACGGGTGATTAAAAAATTCATCAAACGGCATTCTGTCTCGAGCATTGCGCCTCAGCAGTCCCATTAAAAGATTTGACAATTCCGGAGACGTCCCTGACGGAATTCTAAAATACAAGAAACAATAATAATATCTGTAATATTTAGATAGATCAATATGATACCATTGAAAACTCACTTGGGTCCTAAATTGGCATGTTTTTCATAAAACTGTTTCAAAGCTTGAGGTGTGTGTGCCTGAAATGGAGCTTTTCCAGTGAGACATTGGAAAACTATAGTTCCTAATGACCAAAGGTCAGCCTTAGCATCATACTGCAGGGACATGATAACTTCTGGAGCCATGTACATTGGAGAACCACATAGAGTAGCAGCCATTACACCATCACGTAAAAATCGTGCAAAACCAAAGTCGGCTGAAATAAACAAATTTTTTATCAGCACAGTATAAAAATAAAATTTTAATACATTGGTTGTTCATTGATTTAACAGTATTACTAACCAATTTTAAGAGTAATTTGATGAGGTTGAGGACATTGTTTACCGCAATGATGACTAAGTAATATATTCTGTGGTTTTAGGTCTCTATGAACTACTCCTTTAGCATGTAATGCTTTCATTGCACCAGCCAATTGCTTTAGAAATACTCTTATGGTATCTTCTGATAGTGTTCCTTTTGCTACTAGCACACATATCAGTGACTCATTAATTCTAAGGACTATCAAAATTAAGATAACAAATATTTTTGACATATTAATAAGCTTACCAGTTAGATAATCAGCAAGATCTCCGCCATTACAGTATTCCATAACAAGGAAGACATTAAGATTTGATTCCTGATGATAAAATATTGAGTTATATCATCTTTTCAAGTGGTTAGAATAAACTTACAAAATTGCACTTTACTAACCTTACAATCCAATAGGGCAACTACATTTTCATGATGTAATTCTGTTAATTCCTGTATTGAAAATAAAAACATCTGTTAATAAACTCAACAATTAAAAAAAGTAAGTTCAATGATTTTACCTTCAGAATTTTTATTTCCTTGCCAAGTAAATTTTGAGACTTGGCTAAATTTTTCTTAGTTATACTTTTGATAGCCACTACGAAATTAAGTTTCTGTAAAAAGAATTAATATCCAATATACAATTGGTTGTAAATGACCTAGAAATAATATTGAAAACACAGAACATATGTGCACCCATATTTATTTGATCAATGATAAAAATATATCTTCAAATGACAAAGACAATTTCAATTAACATATTTTTATAAATCTATTGTTCTTGTAGATTGATAAGATGGTTTAATTTCATTTTATCATGCTAATCACATATATGATTATGAAAACCTACGTATATTATTATTTGTTGTAGTATAATACAATACAGTAAATGCACTCAATAAGCATCAACTACTCTTCAGCTAATAAACTTTCTAATTTTCAAATAAGTGAAACAGAATATCAACCATGTGTATACGACAAAAAACAATAGTTCACCTACATAATGACAATAAATAGAACACAATGGAATAACAGAATACTTTAAACCAAGAATTTACCTTACGATGTCTGCCTTTGAAGACAACAGCAAAGGCACCATGACCAATGAGGTCCTTACTGTTGTATTCGTAATCCCCGACGACTTCCATGTTAGCTTACAGTCAGGTCACGTTATATATATATCTTCCTCTTACTATCGCGCTATTTCACTTTCGATGACAACAATAACAACAATCCTCCGTCATTCCTTTATCAATAACCTGCATCACCGGCGCGTGCTGCATTGAATACTTTCGAATAGAACGCAGAGAGAATAAGAGGATCAATAAACGACCGCGGCACAAACTCGCGTACTTTGGGAACATACGTGTCAGCGAGCAAGGCAAATGCAAGCCAGCTTTCGTCAAACAAAGTGATGATCACTCTTGACTATATCCCGAAGTGCGACAATGATGATATTCACCACTGTGTCGACTCCATGATCGCGCACTACATCTTGAATGTCAGCACATAGGGCAACTATGGCGACGGAAAATGTTTCTTCGACGAGAGCTTCTCTATATACATATATTGCACTGCTGTTACTAGCTCTAGCTACTTGCTTCTGCAGGGAGGAGCAAACACATAGAACGCGAGAGCCGAGAATCTGAGATCGACTTGTTACTCACGCGCGCAAGCGCTGTGTAGAATTTCAGGGACGTAGCGATCATCGAGTGTCTTCGGCCAATATATGATTTGGACTTAGCGAATGGAATATTGGTATTATCATATCAAACTGTGTCTATTGATAAGCTTTACGATATGCTGTGCAATTCTATCGTTCAGACCAGACGTTTAGTATTTTATGAATTTTCTAGAGCAAGTATGTCATTGCCCAGGGCTCTGACGATTCCAAATCCATATTCATAGTTGTTATATAGCATTAGCATCCCGTAAATGGCAAGTAAGGAGACTGCTATATCATTGCCATGTACTAGAAAGAGATAAACGCACTACGGAACTGTCAGATTTAAGTACGTATTATGAGTGACGCACGCGCGTTAGAATCAGCTGAGTGCAGACTGTACAGTGCAGACTGAGAAACAGTAGGAATGGTGGCAATTTAAACACGTGTTTGTTACCTATATACACACACAAACGCGCGGGAGCGATAGCTATATAATATATATAGTATACGTTATTTTATATATTAATACTTCATTTTAAATAATTTACTAGCATTATTTAACGGGCTGCGTGTGCTATTATGTTATTTTTCTATTATTTAGTATTTGTATCATACAATCATAATTTCACTCAATAGCAGTGGTTTTCTATGGCCTTAAAATTATATTACTATCAGGGGTCGTAGTCGAGAGCCGTAGGCGAGTAGGTATGAAGTGGCCACGAAGTGGCGACGACGACTGCTAGCAGGTCGTAACACTCTATACAGTAAAATAAAATGGAGAAAAGTCAGATTTATCGAATAGAATATACTTTTTTTCATGCTTCTACGTATCGATTTCCTAATGTGATATAGTTTGAGAAGTATAGATTCTCTTCTATAATCCGAAAAAAGATTTACTTCGATAGCTTTTGATTTGAGAAAGTTATTTGAGTTTGAAGTTTTGAGAAATGTTGCTTTTTAGCCATTTGAAAATTCTTCTAAACGCTTTGTTTTATTTTTATACGTCTTTAAGTCTTTTACGTATTTTACGGCTACTACTCACGTACAAAATAATTGATGACTCACGGTTCTCGATTGTTCCTTATTGTACGCCATCGGTTGGGTTTGAGTCTTTATGGCATTCTACAGATATCGAATTCATGGTTCTTCATGCTTCCTCATGGTACTCCATGGGTGTTCATGGTATTTTAAGGCTTTTTATGGTGTTTCATCGTGATTTATGGTGTTTCACGGATCTCGACAGATTCATGCTTCTTTATGGTTCCTCATGGTATTTCATGAGATCTCGATGGGTTCATAGTTCATCATTGTTTTTTATGGTACTCAATGGGATTACAGAGTCTTTTATGTTGTTTCACGAAAATTGATGAATCCATGGTTATAACCCTATAACCCAACTTTTCATAGTACGTTACGATACAAGTGCGGAAAAGTATAAGATTCTCGTCTCGTGTGGCGTTTACGCCCGAGCGAAGCGAGTTCTACTCTAGCGAGGGAAATCTACTTTTCAACACTTGTATCGTAATGTACTATTATTTTTATGAATTGAAAGATTTTACAGTAGATCCTATTGAACAACAAGCATTCTTCATAGCATTTCTTGATATAAGAAATTTTCATATAACCCGTATAACCTACATAATCCATATAACCCAATAACCTAATCTCAATTTTTTGATAATTCTATATTTTCGGATTTCTGACATATTCAAATGATCCTATTGAGCAACTAGTATTTTTCGTATCATCAATTTCTTGATATCAGAAATTTCTATATAATCTAACTTTGTACAATTTCTTCTATTTTTTCGAGCGACATAGAAAACCTATAACCCGAACCCAATCCAACTTTTTAAAAATTTTATATTTTTGAATTTAAAAATGTATCAGTTGATCTTATTGAACAACAAGCAATTTTCGTTACAAATTTCTTGTACAAGAAATTTTCATATAACTCAACCCATATAACCCATATGACCCATATGGGACACACTCCACGGCAATTTGCCAGCTATAAAATCGGTCCTTGCAGCAATAGCGCGATTTCACAGTTGTTTACTACTTGCTGATACTCGTTTGAAACAAACAACACAGGTGCGATTGATGCTTTACACATGTTTTGTAAAAGTAGTCTTCATTTATTTACTAAAAATCTTATTAATATTTAATATTTTTAACGTTATAATACTTTGAAAATGTATTGTGCAGATAAGCTCAGTGAGATAATGTTTAGCCATGCTGGCCGAGCATGGCTTTGAGTAGAAGGCAGCATAAAAACAGTTCCAAGGCTCGCTGAATTATTACAAAGAATTGTTACTGCTTACAATAAAGTATACGACTTTATTTCTAGAAGCCGTTATCACGTTATTTCCAATGGCGATCTCTGGGTAAATAATGTTATGATTGACGGTCGATGAGAATCATACAAATGTATTCTCGTAGATTTTCAAATTACGAGATATGCTCCATTAGTATTACACATCTTAAAGGTACTGCATATAAATATTTAAAATACATTTTTATAAATTAATTTTTTTATATACATTATTAAATTGGGGAAATTTTAAAATTTAATAAATTAAAAAAAATAAATTACTTAAATAAAAGAATATTATATCCAATACATATTGAAATTACCTTAGGGATAACAGCGTAATAATTGTAGAGATCATATTGAAAAAATTTATTGCGACGTCGATGTTGAATTAAGATAAAATTTTTATGGAAAAATAATTACTTTTAGTCTGTTCGACTATTAAAATCTTACATGATTTGAGTTTAGATCGGTGTAAGCCAGATCAGATTCTATCTTATATCTATAATAAAAAATTTGTACGAAAGGACTTTTTATTAATATATATTATATTTAATAGTGAATTATATTCTCATTACTTTGACAGATTAGTGTATTAAATTTAGAATTTAATTATAATATTATTAATCTATAAGATAATAAATCTATATCTAATCAATAATATAAATTTCTATAAAAATCATTAAAATTAATAAATAATATTAAAAATATAAAATTTAAAATTAATAGATTGTATAAATAAAAATTTGAAAAAATTAATATAATAATAGATATATAATTTTATCATATAATAAAATTTATATTATTATTACCTAAATCACGTAATAATATAATAATTAATGTTAATCCTAAGACTCTTTCACATAGTACAAATACTAAATAATATATAATAATATTTATATTAAAACTAAAAAACATATAAACTTTTAATATTAATAATATTCTTAATATAATAAATTCTAATCTGATTAAATTTAATAAAATATAATAATAATTAAAATTAAATATTAATAAAGAAATAATAAATATAATATAATAAATATAATAATTTAAATAAAATATTAATTTTGCAAATTAAATTTATATTTAAGATATATAGTTAATCAAAAAAATATTGTTGTATATCATTAATCTCCAAAATTAATATTTTATATAAAATATTTTTTGAAATGAAAATAACTTGATTGAGAATTATAATTATAATTACTATATCAAGAAGATTATTAAATTTGATAATTAATATTTTTAATTTTACAAATAAATTTATTCATCCTATTATTATTATCATTATTTTATTATCTTTCAGAATTACTAGAGCTTTAAATTTAGAGTTATTTTATAGAATAAATTGAATTTCATATTTTTAATTATTGTAGATGGTATAATAATTATTTTTATATTATTATTATTAAGAATCTTTTATAAACATTATAAATTTTATTTTTGAAATAATAGATTAGAAATTATATTTAATTATTTAAATATATTGAAAATTAAAACTATATGTGTGTATATATATATGTGTGTGTGTGGGGGGTGTAATAAAAATGATATTGTTATTATAATTTATTTATTAATTATTTTAATATTTGTAGTAAAAATATGTATTGATAAAAAAAATAACATTACGAAAAAATAATTATGAAAAAATCAATTTAAATAAAAATGAATTATTAAATATAATATGTTCATCATTAATATATTTATCTACACCAGTAAATATTTCAATCTGATGACATTTTCGATCATTATTAGGAATTTGTTTAATGTTTCATTATTGTTCTAATATTGATTATGCATTTAATAGTGTTATTAATACAATGCTGTGTCAAAGGCCCTGATTTGACTTCATATTTATGATAATTGAAAAAGGTAATGAAGGAATCCATATATTGGAACATAATAATACAATACTTTTCGGGGAATAATACAAGTAGAAAAAATACGAAAGCTATACATCACACATGAAGATCAAGTATAGAATTAGCGAGATGAGCGAATCGCCATCTGAGACTGAAAGCTTGATATATAGCGTAATATGGAAAAAAATGAATATACTAATTAAGCGTTCAATTTCTCAGATGCTTATTTTGACCAAACTGCTATTTTTTACGCGATTTTATTTTCAACAGTGAAACATAATTATTGCATAGATACACTTAATGACAACCAAAGGAACAATTACCATGAAAAATCATTAAGAATCTTTTCACAAAAATACCAGTATGGAGCGAAATAGAACCCCACTCTGCTTTAATGACATATCCAGATATATATATATATTTCTTTTCCTTGATACATAATGTCAGTGTGTTACTCGCTTCCAAGGATAGCATATCGTTTTGATTGACGATCTATTTGACTCGGTGGGTATTTTCAGAAGCAATGATTTGGAATAACAACTTATAGTTTGTAAATATAGTGAATACAACTAAAAGAATCACATCTTAATAAATTAACGAATTCATCATATAAATTAGATACTGTAACATTGCAATTATAATTCAATTATTGAAATTTGATATTATAAAATGTTTGAAGCTAAAAATAAAGTTCGCTTGTAAAAACTTCTAAATTACTGTATTGAACTTTTTTGTAGGACAACATTCTTTCTACGCGGAAATCATGTCGATTAACCATGATAATAATATTGAAAGTTTAACGGTGAAGGATGTGCTAGTAGTAGTACAAGAATTTTTAAAAGATGACACTGTTGAGGTTGAGGACTATGGCTTGAAACCTTATTCAGAAGATAAACTAGGTCACATGGGGTCACATCTTCAATTGACTATAACAATCAAGGTAAATACATGAAATATTTCAATACTCCTTTCATTATCATATCTAATTAGATATGTTTTTTAATTCGAGACAAGTTAAAAATGAGTAGAATTACAATATTAATTTTAATTAAAAAACGACTATGTAGTAATAGAAGTACATAAAACCCTTAAATTAAAGAAAATAACAATGGAATTATTGTTATTTTTCAGAAAACGAATGAAAAGAAATCATCCGAAACGTATAAATTTTTTGTGAAAGCTATATTACAGAACTCACAAACTGAAATTGATTTTATGAACGAATGCGGTATGTTCACTGAAGAATTTGTTTTCTTCCAAAAAGTTAAACCTTTGTTAATGGAAAATTATAAGGATAAGGCATGGTCACCAGTTTGCTACTTAGCAAAGAAAGAATTTCTAGTGATGGAAGATCTTAAAATGAATAAATTCGAATTGTCAAATAATTTATTGGATAATACCTGCCAGATAAAATCTACTTTAGAAACATTAGCGAGATTCCACGCGTGCTCTATTGTAGCTGAAGCTCGGCTAACTCAGTTACATAAGGTATTTGTTCATATCATTTTATTCATAATAAGAAAATTTATTTAATGGTAAATTAAACAATATTCATTCTGAGATTATGAAGCCATAGAGTTGAATAATTAAAATTGAAAATAATTATTCTTATCTTCGTTACAAATTTTTTTGTAATTTACAGAAACCTGTTTTTTTAAACGACTATTTTCCGAACAATTTGAAAGAAAAATTTTTTCCGAACGACACATCGACAAGACAATCTACAATAAACGTCTTGATTGAAAACACTATGAATTTAGTTTTTGCTATGGCTGATTCGTTCCAGCGTAGCTCTCAGAATATACGTAAACTTTATAAAAAATTGTTCGAAGTCGTGAAGCCTTCTAAGATACATCGTAATGTGATATGCCATGGTGATCTGTGGGCAAATAATCTTATGTTCAATGATTCAGATCCTGAACCACAATGCGTGTTTGTTGACTTTCAAACTATGAGATATGCTCCAAATGTGTTGGATGTTTTGCAGCTTTTATATCTGAATACAACGTTAAATTATCGTAAACAACACGAAAAAGAGTTTATTAGAGTTTACTCTTTGACATTAGAAAGGACGATACAAAACAATGACGAAACAAATACAGCAGTTGCGCCGACATTTGAAGAAAATATAGAGGCTTATGAAGATTTAAGATTGTTTGGTGCCTCTCTTGCTAGCATTTATCTGCCGTTTATTTTGTTGGATCAAAAAATAATTAACGAACTGTACAATGGACCGGATGGGTTTAGTAACGCCTTATACACAGATAAGACTGAAATTACATTCGCGTACATGAAACGAAACGAGTCCTATAAAAATCGTATTGAAAAAGTAATAAATGAGCTTGCAGACATCGCCGATCAGTGAAAAACGCCAGAGAAATTTTGAAGCTTGATATGTATAAATTTCACTTGACAAGTCAGAAATTTTTAGAGATTTGGATATGGATTTCAATTTTGAATGTGGCATTTTCTTCACTCGTCTATTTGGAAGTGTCCTTTTGTTCCACTAACCCAACAAATACTCTTCTAATGGGCATTAAGAAAAAGGAAATGTAATCAATGATATTATACTATGAGATTCTCAGTAGCTTTGATTAAATCGAAAGCTTTTAACACTAAGTGAATATTTTAAAAGTATTATTCATTGATATTAGATTATCTTCACTATATGAAAATTCACATATACATTACAGGGTGACCCATTTTAAAGGAACCACCCCGAAATTTTCTACGGTTGGCATTCTACAAAAAAATGTTCAGATAACAATTGTTTGAGACAATGAGAGACACCTTTCCCAGAAATGGAATTTGACTTTGATATTTATTTTCAAGGTCATTTGAAGGTCAAGTCAGTTTTTGAATAGGAACCTATAATTTTGATCCCGGATTCGGAAAGAGCGAGAAATTCTACGTTTAGATGAGGTATTATGTGTGGGGTGCCGTTAACCCCCCCCCCCCCCCCCCCCCCCGCGTCAGGTCAAATTTATTATTTTCTTCATCTCTGCACAGGGATGATCGGGCAAGAGTAAGATTAATTTTAATAACCCAAAAACTCAAATAACCCAATAACCAAATAACCAAGTGATTTTTTAATAAGAACCACCATTTTTTATCATGGATTCGGAAAGAGCAAAAGTCTCCCTGGGTAATTTTGACGGTCAAGGCCGATATCGTGCTGCAGCAAGATATTACCGTCCAGTTATTGGGTTTGGGGGGCAAGATATTACCAGCAAGTTATTGGATTATTACAATTAATCTTACCCTTGCCCGATCATCCCTGTGCATAGATGAAGAAAGTAATAAATTTGACCCCTATATGACCTTACGTGGGGGGTGGGGGGGGGGGGGGGGGGGGTTAACCGCAGCTCACACATAATACCTTATCTGAACGTAAAATTTCTCGCTCTTTCCTAATCCGGGATCAAAATTATAGGTTCCTATTCAAAAAATGACTTTGAAAATAAATCTTAAGGCCAAATCCGATTTCTGGGAAAGGTGTCCCTCATTGTCCCAAATATCTTTTCTCTGAATAATTTTTTTGTAGAACCCCAACCGTAGAAAATTTCGGGGTGATTCCTTTAAAATGGGACACCCTGTATAGAATTTATTAATAATTTACCAAATAAAAACGAAATTATAGTTATGTAAGTTCAAATATTATATTTACTTTTGTCATTTTCTTAATGTATGTATTTCATTTTATGAATAAAAAATATTAAATATTATTTTAATGCAAATATTTCCGAACAAATATCTTATCTAGTGTATAAAAAAATAGCTTATCCTCCTCCTCTTATAAAATAACTATTATAGAAATATTTAACGCATGGTATATTTCAAAATTTTTAAGCTAACCAAAGAAATTTTTTTATTATTTATTAATAAAACTGAATATTAGCGTGCGAATAAGATTAGACGTTACTACTTATAATAATCGAACAATTCTTTTGCTACGAAGATGGCTTAACTTCGTTTTTATTACGTACGTATGAAAATTAACGTTTGTTGACTTTGTTATGTCCTTTTGCAAGAGGAAACATTAAAATTAGCATTATTAATGTGCGTATTATCTTATCTTTTGTCTGTAAAAAAATGTTATCTTATTCGTGATCCATAGTACTTGTTATCACAATAAAGAGCGTCTATTTGTGCAATAAAAACAAATCCGAAGTGCTTAGTAACTGCGTGACAAGAACGTCAAAAGAACGTTTTCAACGTTTAAGATATTTCTGTTAAGATGACAAATACATTTGTTTAAGATGTCTTATCATGGCAATAACATTGCCCACGTGAGATGTCATTCTCCATTTACTTCGTACGACGTAGTTCTCACACGTAACAATAAAAAGACATCGCGAAAATCGTTCATTCGTTCAGAAATTGCGGTATCTTGCACAGCAACCAGTTATGGAGCATAAAGTAAGATTGGGCATCGATCTTCCTACGTTTGTCGATAAATATCAGTACCTAGAAGAGGAATATCGAGAAATTGAAAAGAAAAAAGAAACCAAGCCAAGAAACATGCCGTATACGATCAATACTTTGATTCCTCACAGCAAGATAAGTGAGAAAATTTGGAAGATAGTGCGGGCCTGCTTGCTCAATAAGAATATCTTTCCAACACGTGAGAACCACTGTATTATTTTTCGATGGCGCTGACAACGTATCTTATTGATTCATTTGTATCGTTTCGCAACCCATCGTAGTTGATTTTATATCAAATATTGTACTGTTTACTAAAAAAGTGCAATTAATATAGATTATTAAAATCGTATTTTTCATCTGGGAGGACGTGATTATCTGCACGTGATATTAAATGCTCCAAATTTTATTTTGTACGCTATTACTTAAATATTAGTGTATTGCTCAAATATTGCGCATGTACAAATGGAAAAAAATTGAATCAAGTATTCCGTTTCGTGGTTTCTTTTGTTTCGGTGTTTTTTTTTATTTTAAATTTCACTGCGTTTTCTAATTTATGAAAAAAGAAAATCCTGGTACAAACATAAATAAAAACACTTAATAAAAAAGTCGATAGACTTTTTTATTAAAAGTCTATCGACTTTTTTATTAAGGTAAATTGCTAGCTGTGCATAACGCTCTATAAAGTTTTACTTTCACAATAAAGATTGGTGTTATATGTGAAAATACGAGTATACGTTATCGATAAAAAATTATTAACATGATGAATAATTACTAACTTCTGAAAATCTCAATTATTTTGAACGTCATGAAAATTAACTTAGGATTTTCTAATGACACGCATGAAAATTGTTGAAGTATAAATATTATTTTGTGAATACACATAATAAATTCGTGGTTCAAAAAAACTATTAGTATATAAGTAATATAATAAATGATAGATTATCTTAAAAACATTAATTTATAAGACTTTTGTGCAATTAATGTATGATAAGTTTTGTACTTTTTTCTGTAACATAATCTTCACATCTCAATGCATAAAATGAGTGTGCTTGCGCCCCTCAAAACAAATCGCACTGGCCTTTTACAAGTAACTGACGCTAGCGTAGTATACATGTGCTATTTTATAATAATATTGTCAGCGTTATGATTTTTATAACACAATACAAATAAAGTATTAAAATTGTCTCTGCTTTTATTCTCAATTCCTTAAAATAAATTTTTTTTCTCATGACGACTGTACAATCCAAAAAATCAATTAAAATTTTATTGTATCTTTCAAATCAATCTGAAAAATTAATTTTCATTCAATTTCTCATACTGCAAGTTATATTCTATGTCATTTACCTTATATGATATATTTTAGTGTACGATTTTTATTTAAAATAAGCTTTAGTTAAGAAAATTTTCTAAAAAAAAAGTTATCACCATGGGAGTACTCAAATATTCGCATGAATTCTTATTCGAAAATTAACTGTTTTGAGTCGTGATCATTACTCGATATAAGAATTTGTTATTCCAATAGTAATTGTTTGCTCCAAAACGAATTGAGAATGAAGTTGGTGAAACTGAAAAAACTTCCAATTTCGAGATATTAGGTAACAAAAAAAGAGCGTAGAGATGAAAATCGTCGTTGCAAAGAAAAAGTGAAATTTCTTACTATGTAGCAATGAAATTGTTACGAGATGTGAAAAAAGAGCAATTACGCGTACGAATTCCGTGCGTGACCGCAAAGATAACGCGGCTTTCTGAAATCCGGTTCGAGCAATAAGCGGAAAAGACGTCGATCACGGTCAATCGAGAGCGCGACTCCGTATACTCTATTTCTTTGTCCCACTCTTTTCATCTTGGGCGTGAACCAGACGCTCCATTGCGATCGAAAGTAAACAATCGATCATTGCGCTGAATCGCTTATCGGACAGACGCACACTTGCGTCCAGCAGCTTATAACAATTTGTGAAGCCGGTGGGCAGCTAATCGTCAACTTATCCGCCAAGTACATGTCTCGCTGAGGTCGCTCGTCAGGACGAGTGTCCCCGTGGCGCGCGGCGGCGAAAGTGCACAGCAAAACAAGCGTACCAACGGCAATGTCGTCGACGAGCAGTGCGATCGATGCCGAGCAGGCGAAATCCATCGCGATTCGCGCGTGCGAAACGGACGGCACTCTGCGACTGGTAAAACACGAGCTGGAAGCTTACTCCAAGAGTAAAGTCGGTTTCCTCGGCAGTCACCAGAGACTCAAGATCACCGTGGAAGACGAAGGCAGCGGTGAGACGAGGACGCTGAATTTCTTCGTGAAATTGGTGCCCCGAGACTCGCAGGCGCAGGTGGAGTTTGTAAAGCAGCGTCGAGTTTTCAATCAAGAGGCTGAATTTTTTACGAAACTGATGCCACGGTTGCTGGAAGCCACCTCGGCTAGCCACACGGAAGCATGGGCGCCCCGATGTTACCTGGCTAACGAGGATTTGGTCGTGCTCGAAGACGTGCGCGACCGAGGCTACTTCATGCGCGATTCGAAGATTCTGTCGACCGAGCAGCTGAGGTCGGCAGCCGCGGCGATGGCGCGTATGCACGCCGCTTCGATGATCGCCGAGAGGAGACTCGGACAAGCGCTCAACGAGCTTTATCCGCAAGCCTGCGCCGAGCAGATATTCCATCCGCAGATTCGCGATCACGGTAATGCTCTGCTGGAGTCGCTGATCGTCGAGGTGAGCAAACGCACGAATCGCAGCTGCAAGAACACCGTACCGATGATACATCGAGCTTTCGACTTCGTGACTGGCCATGCCAAGCATCGCGTGGTTTGCCACGGCGACGCCTGGTCGAATAACGTCATGATAAAGGACGGACAACCAGCCAAGTGTCTGCTGGTCGATTATCAGATGACGAGATACGCACCGCGGATGTTCGACGTGGCGGAACTAATTTGCCTCAGCACTTACCGCGACGCTCGCGACAAGAACGAGAAGACAGTGGTAAAGGCTTATTGGGAGGAGTTGTGCGAGACGCTGAGCAAGTGCGAACCGTCGATCGACAGACCAACGTACGACGAGTTAATCGACGAGTACAAACAGGCCAAACATTCCGCTTTGTTCCTTGCTGTTATGTACCTACCGAGTATAATGCTCAGTTATGATGTATTCGCTAAGTACAAGGATGATCCAGCTGCGCTTTATCAGAATTTCGTGTTCAGACGGAACAACGCATGTGTTTTAGAGCTGATGGATCAGGATGAGGAATACGCAAGGAGGATCACCGAAGCAGTTTTGGATTTTGTGGAAAGCTGTGAGAAAATCACCGCCGCCGAAGAATGATGAAACTTGTCAATAGTTTATATACATAACGTGATTTCGAAAAGTGTAATATTGTAGAAAAGTGTATTTAATCTCTACGTTGAATATTTCACTTTTGTTCTCTATTAATTGATACGGTGTCAAGGACTTTTAGTTGTGAATATTTTTAAATAATAAAAGAAATAAATAAACATCATTCGTTCACAAAAATAACTGATCTTTAGTAACCATCAAAGTATAAATGATCATCTAGTGTAGTCATTTAATTTAGACTATTAGAGCTGCAATGATACTATCATTGTAGAATAAAGAAAACATACTTCCGCATTCATGGCATACATACAAATTACATGTAAAATTAACTCGTGTGTAAACCTTATAATCACTGATGAATTTTATGGAACCATGCAATGTATTTTTTAACTATCACTTGCAATGATAACAAAAACATTGAGATATGAAAACAATTGAAAGGTAAATAGTACTTAAAAATGTTGCACTGCAATGATAGTCCGGATGTGTGATGAGTTTTACACGATATTTAATGGCGTGACATGCCATTTGTCAATGGTTGCAAAAGTTTGAAATTGGTTGCCGAAGTCTATGATTTACTCGAAAATATAAAAACACGAAGTCTCTCAAATTATAATAACAAAGTCAGATTAATTGCGGCCGAGAGCCTGGCGAATAATTAAATACGAATTAGGCGGAAGTATAATGCGATCGTGACGTCAGGTGAACCTTGAAACGAAAACGGCGACAATATGAGCAATCGCATAGTAGACGTATAATCGCGAGTGAAAGATATCCACTCTCGCCAGTGTCGAGATAGACATGTAAATATTCCTCGGAGCAAGTCGACAAAACTGTATCATTCGCGATTGAGAGCCAGTCGCAAATTGCTCGTTACTTTCACAGCCGCGCCGTATATTATCGCGCGTTAACAGCTTCTTCTCTTGTTGACGAGCATCATTGCAGCTCGTCTTGGAAGATTACGCAACAGAAATCATTAGCACAATGTAAGAAAAAAAAATTGTTTTTTGCAGTAGTTTTTTTCACAGCCAAGTAGAAAAAAGCTAATATTGTTTTTATTTATTTCTTTTGATTTGAAACATTGATTGATGAGGCATCATTAATCACTGTAACATTTTAAAAACTCATGCTTGCTCGCATAATGTCGCGCCTGCTCGAGCCAGCGATTAAGATCTCGTGAGGTATTTTTCTTCAAAATGACTCGTACATTTCGGAATTCGTAGACTGCAATTTGCTATAATTTTTCGAACTCCGCAAACGGCAATAATTTCACAGGAATTATCTCACGGGAAAAATAACTGAAAGAAGTTACGTAATTTATGCTTGGGTATGAGCGCGTTCAATTGCGTACACTGGAATTCAGCCTTCATTTGCATAGATCAAAACATTATTTGAAAGCTGTGTGTTGTTTTACTGGCGATCAATTATAAGTTGAATATAGCAGCAGCGATCTTCAACTCCACTTGAGATTCGTCCATTTGAAAAGTGATTTTCCTCGCGCGCGGATTGATACAGCAACCTTGTACGCTCTTATTCTAGGCAAGCGAACGTTCGCCGGCGTGCAGCGTGCTACACGGGCTTCGTGCACCGACACATTTAAGCGACTCGTTGTTGAAAAGTGCGCGGCATCTCGCTCGGAAAGAACAGTCAGCAGCCGAGCGGCAAGCCGATTGCTTACGTTCAATCTTGCAACGTCAGGAAAAAAGTTGTGCTCCGTACTCGCGTGGAATCGCCGTTAGCCGTTAACAATGAAGACGGACACATTTAATCAGCAAGAGATCGAAAAGATCGTTGATCGAGCTTTTCCCGGTGAGGAAGCGCGAGCGTTGAACTATCGCTTGAACAGATACAGCAAGGACAAGGTCGGATTTTTGGGCACTCATCAGAATCTCGAAATCACGGTCAAGCGTCGCGGCAGCAACCAATCTGAAATTCTTCGATTTTTCGTCAAGAGTTTGCCAACGTTGACGGAAGAGCAATTGAAGTTTATACGCGAGCGCGATCTGTTCGGTCAAGAAGCGTCCTATTTCAACGACGTTCTGCCGGTTTTGAAGAAAGCTTGCCCTTCCACGGACGACTGGTCCCCCCGGTGTTTTCTCGCCACCGACAAGTTGGTCGTGCTCGAGGACATGCGTCTCCGCAATTACGCCATGTCCGACACGAAAATGCTGAGCGAGGAGCAATTGAAGGCGGCTTTCAGAGCGCAAGCTCGTCTCCACGCGGCCTCGCTCGTCGCCGAGAAGCAATTGGCTAAGCCGCTCAACCAAGCCTATCCGAAAAGCTGCGGAGAAGCGATTTTCAACGACGGCATGCTCGAGTCCAAGCGGCTCCAGCTGTACACCGATCTCGCTGAAAGAGTGGCCGAGAGGTTGGGTCGCGACGGTCGACGCATCAGCGCGGGATTCCGCAAAGGTTTCGATCAAATGTACGACCAGAACCAGCTGTCGACGAGGTTACCGAAAGTTCTCGAGCACGGCGACGCCTGGCCCAACAACTACCTGTTCGATGAGAGTGATCCGCCTAAATGCGTCCTCGTGGATTTCCAACTGACTCGCTACGGACCGCCGACCTACGACTTGCTACTGCTCGCATATCTCAGCACGAATCGCCAAACTCGCGAGAAAGTCATAGGCGAAGCGATCGAAGCCTATCACGCGCAATTTTGCAAGGTGCTGGAACAAAACAACCCTGAAATTGAGAGGCCAAGTTTAGATGACGTACTGGAAGAATACGAACAACTTAGGACAACTGCCTTATTGTGCGCTGTTATGTACTACCCAGTCATCTGGGTGGGCCAGTCGACTATTGATAAGTACGATGAAGAGGAACGATATAAAAGGCTGATGTTCCGCCAAGATAATTCATTCGTCATGCAAATCTACGACGAAGACGAAATATTCGCTGAAAAAATGAACGAAGTCATCATAGAGACTGTTGAGTATTTCGAACAACGAGATGTACCGATCGAAATGAACAATGATCTGCATTAGAATCTGTGGATGTACGGGTTATCTTCAAATAAATGCTTCAAAAACTGATCGAAAGTTCATTGAGTAAGAGAAAAAACCAATTTTTTAGTGTCAAACTGATTTGAAATTTATTTCAAAAAATATCTTTGAACGAAAAATGCTTTACTTGCATTATTTTAAATTAACAAAGTTTTAATTAGCTTCAGAGATCTTTTATATTCTATTCTCAATGCTCTCTACGTTTTACTTTGTTAGTTTAGTTTTCAAATCATTAACAATTACTTCATTAAGTTTTTATAATTTCTGTCGGACTAAATGTAGTTTAGTTAGCATGACGATATTCCCGTCAGTCGAGTCTGCGCAAATATGTCTATTTGATTAGACACCTTCAAGTTTACCTAACAGTATTTACTTAAAGTATTCCTCAATTTGGAAAGAAATTCATTATTTTAAGAGATTCATGAAATTGTCTTATTATTTCTTATGCGCTTAGATTATGAATATCGAAATTAATAAAAAAGAATAAAAATGATTGAAAAATGAAGCATTTTGCCAATGAATCTGATAGTGTTTTTTACGTCAGATCTGCAAAAATATTACAAAATCATCGAGTAACGATGAGAGTTAAGTTATAAGACATAGATATATATGTATATAGATAAGAATAATTAGATAACCTGATGAACGGTGATTAGAATGATTAGTAAGACGGACACATTTAATCAGCGAGAGATCGAAAAGTAATTTCGTATTCAAATCAAGTTACTAAAAATAAGAGACAAGAATAAAATTTTAATATAGTTAAGCAGATAGATACCAATTAAAAAAAAAAGTAATAGAATGATTGCTATAAGTCACAAGTTAGGAAGCAAAGATATTGAAGGATGCAGATCAAATTGAAGAGTAAATTGCTGTTTACTCAAAAACTCATAAAAGTTGTAGTATTCTAAACTTGTATATGACGTAATGTTGGCTAAGATTTTACGTACTCATTGACGTAACGAAATGATGATAGTCATGAAAGACATTTAATTAGAAAATAATTAGGTAGTGCTTAAAAAAAAAGTACTTTTGAAAAATCTCAATACCACATAAGATATTAGTAAAATATAGTGATCGCTTCGATTGCCAATTAAATGCAGCATAGCGTTTGTCTTCTTTAGAGACAGTAAATTTAAGTACTGGGTTAAAAAATACGTATCGAGCATTTTATTCATGCAGGATTTTCGCTGCCAATAACTGCGCCCGCTTTAAACAATATATTAAGAATTGTGTTATTTTACTGGCAACTTTTATCTTTTAAAGCTTATCTGCTATCGCTGGTTTTCTTAACGCACCAAATAACAAGCAACGACTGATCATCTGTAATACGTTAAACGAACACTTGGTACTCACTTATGCGAATGCGCGCGACTTCAAATTATCGCATAGTAATTCGCTTAAAAAGCACGAGACACCTTTCTTGGAGATTACAGTCACCAATCGAACTTCAAACCGACAGTCACTCTCTAAAAGTGCACCTTTAGATAGTTCTTAATTGCAACAATTAACACGTATTAAGATTAAATAAAGAATAAAATATATTTACGTGCTGAGAATGAAGGTCGACACATTTAGTCGACAAGAGATCGAAACGATTGCCCATCGGGCTTTCGACGGTCAGTCAGTGCAAGTGATAAACTACCACGTCGAGATATACAGCGAGGACAAGGTCGGATTTTTGGGTATACATCAAAATCTCGAAATCACGGTCAAGCGTCACGGCAGCAACCAATCTGAAATTCTTCGACTTTTCGTCAAGAGTTTGCCAACGTTGACGGAAGAACAATTACAATTTATACGCGAACGCGATTTGTTTAATCAAGAAGCGTCTTATTTCAACGACGTTCTCCCGGTTTTGAAGAAAGCTTGCCCTTCCACGGACGACTGGTCCCCCAAGTGTTTTTTCGCCAGTGACAAGTTAGTCGTGCTCGAGGACATGCGACTCCGCAATTACGCCATGTCCGATACGAAAATGCTGAGCAAGGAGCAATTGAAGGCGGCTTTCAGAGCGCAAGCTCGTCTCCACGCGGCTTCGCTCGTCGCCGAGAAGCAATTAGCTAAGCCGCTTAACCAAGCCTATCCGAAAAGCTGCGTGGAACCGATTTTCAATGACATCATGATCGCAGAAAAACGACTGCAGCTGTTCACCGATCTCGCTGAAAGAGTAGCCGAGAGGTTGGGTCGCGACAGTCGACGCATCAGCGCGGGATTCCGCAAAGGTTTCGATCAAATGTACGACCAGAACCAGCTGTCGACGAGGTTGCCGAAAGTTCTCGAGCACGGCGACGCCTGGTCCAACAACTATCTGTTTCATGCCTGTGATCCGACTAAATGCATCCTCGTGGATTTCCAACTGACTCGCTACGGACCGCCGACCTACGATTTACTACTGCTTGCTTACCTCAGCACCAATCGCCAATTTCGCGAGAGTGTGATAGGCGAAGCGATCGAAGCTTATCACGCGCAGTTTTGCAAGGTGCTAGAACAAAACGACCCTGAAATCGAGAAACCAAGTTTGGATGACGTACTGGAAGAATACGAACAACTTAGGACAACGGCCTTATTGTGCGCTATTATATACTACCCAGTCATCTGGGTGAGCCAGTCGACTATTGATAAGTACGATGAAGAGGAACGATACAAAAGGCTGGTGTTCCGCCAAGATAATTCATTTGTGATGCAAATCTACGAGGAGGATAAACTGTTCGCGGCGAGGATCAACGATGTAGTTGAAGAGGCTGTTGAGTATTTCGAGCAGCGAGGTGTGCCGATCCAGTCGAAAAATGGTTTGCACTAGAGTAGAGTACAAAGAATATGGTAGCATTTGTAATCAGTGGTAAATTTCTTCGTGTAGTCTCTTTTAAAACGTTTTAAATGGAGTAGCAATAGCGTCTAATTCATTCAATCGTGCAATGTTTATCTATCTCAGCATAACTAGCATAAATACGAAAGAGTGATTCACAAAGCAATTCAAATCTACCATGAGCAATTTAGCGAGGTGCTGAAAGAATACGATCCTGAAATTGAAAAGCCAACTTTGAAGTGTTCTCAAGGAATATCAAGAAGGAATGTGGATATGCCGATCATTAATCAATTCGGCGAAGAAGTGTCATACAAAAAGATAATGTTGCGTGAAGATAATTTATTTGCCATGCAAATCTACGATGAGGACAAAATATTTGCGGACAGGATTGATGATATTACCTAAGAGACTGACGATTATTTCTAACAACGTGGAACCCTGTCAAGCCGACGAATGACTTATACTGTTTTACATCATCTTTGTAAAATATTTCCAAAATTATTGAGTGAATTCTATTCTATTGTTCAGATCATTTAATAAGTGTGGATCAATATATTGACTATATCACTGTTGTGCTTATATGTGACATTATCTGAGATTTTGTGGTTGCTATATCTATCCGTGGGTTATTTGAAAAATGTTTTTTTTTTTGAGATATTTTTGTTCGACTCTACCATGTACCAATTTTTATCGACATTGTCTCATGCATAACAACTTTAACCAAAATTTTTAAATTTACGATAATATCCGTGTTTCTATGGAAGATCATGTAAAGTGAAAGGCTATGTAGCGATGATCCATTATTGAATTTTTTCATCCAGTTTAAAAAAATATTATTAAACAAATTAATTTTTTTCTAAATATATTTTCCTCACGACAATAAAATCATAACGAATATTTCAATGTGAAAAAAATGTGCAATTGTGTCAAAAACGAAGAACTTAATATATCTCACATTTTTCAAGAATTGGTTTATACCTGTTTTCCTAAATATCGTCAACATATTTAATGAAATGTTGATTACAGAATCGCTGCAATAAATTTTGGGGGAAAAAAGAGGATGATAAAATATGTTCAAAAATGACGTTTTTTAAAAGTCGTAAGATATTTTATTTCAATTTTCATTGTCACAGTAAATGTATTATTTATATCACTATACAATGTAAATATATGGGGAAATAGATTGTATTTCAATGCTTGTAGTATAAAATTGATTCTATCATACAAGTCCAACAAGTTATAAAAATATTCTTTCAGTGTCAACGCTACTAACTGACGGACTCGTCGCTTGGCAGTATAGCCGATAAGAAACTCCAATCTAAATCGATCAGTTTCGTCGACTTGTCTTTTGTCTCCTTCTCGTTATTCAAATTCTTTTCTTTACCAGTAAGAATTGTTTTAATGTTATAGTGTTCGTCTTCGCTATCCGATTGGTCCTCATTGACTTTGATCGTTTTTCTAAATTTACAAATCACAGTGAACATTTTGACAGATGATAACAAATAACAGAAAAACAGCGATTGGAAACTTACTTGGTTGGTGTATCCTTGGTTACTTTGCCCGAAGTACCCATCAGCGAAAGAATAAACGGCATGCACAGCATCCTCATAGGCGGTAGTGTATGTGCTGGTACACTCAGCAACTGAAACAATAGTTAGTTGTATTAAAATAAATTATTCCGAAATTACGTGATATTTTGGAAAAAAAACAATTTATTTTAATGATCCAATTTTCGAAAAAAGTTTTAAAAGAAAATCGAATTTGTTTGAAAAATTTAAGTATTTTTATGGAAAATTTCAGCAATTCGCCAAAATTCTCCGGGATAACTCAACGATAATTGTTTACGTATTTCGTATTTTCTGAAACTTCAACTCAGAAAAACGAAATCAAATAAAAGTCCGCTTCGAAACATACCCGGAAGACACTCATAAGTATAGTAGGTTAAATCGCAACGAGAAAGTTCTAGTTAGACGGCGCGCGGGAGACTGGTGGAAATAATGAAATTATTGCTAAAACTAGGTCGACATCTCTCTCTCTCTCTCTCTCTCTCTCTCTCTCTCTCTCTCTCTCTCTCTCACTTTGGCAATACAAAAGTAAATTCGTCAGAGCGCGCAATATGCCATCCTTTTTACAATTTGTACGCTGGCCTGTATTGTATACTCGCACTGAGGGGAACAAGTGATGAGAATTGCGTTTCACGGGGTGGTCGACAAGTGGAAGGGAGGGAAGCTGCGCGGTGCGCAGCGATGCAACTCGCTCTATTCGCGACTCTCGTATATTAGATGATAACGCGCCGGCACGTAAAGTCAGTTGATGCCCAGTTAGCAAACGGGACGCAAAAATAAAACGGGTTCTCGCCCTCCTCGCCGACGAGTGAAGATCGCATCTACAGAAATACGCATATCTGAGCTGAAGTTGCGGAATGAAGTTCGCCAAATTGGGCCTGCTCGTGTGCTTCGTCTGCTTGCTGTTCATCGCGAGCGGTTGTCAGGCATTTCCTGCTGGCGATCCGGAAGCGGTGAGTTCGAGTATTTACCAGTGACTGATCGGTTGCATAGCTAGACGGCTGGGTGGACGGTGGCTCATTGAGAATCACAGCATTACCGAGGTGAATTTCACCGATTTTCGCTTGATTGTCGCTCACTTAGCACGCGACTTGCTATTTCGCGCAACGAAACAATCAAAACTAACTAGCTTGTAGGGTCGAAAGCCAATGTTCCTTCAAAGTGAAAAGCCAGTAATGTCGTTAAACTATGTTATTCGCATGAGTTATGCCGTTTACAGATCTATTTTCTAGCAAATCGACACGTCGAAAGCGGACTACATAAATTGCTCATAGTTAACGCGAAACGAAGACGGCGCTTTTCTCTGTCGGCAAAATTATCGCGCGACGCCCGCGGCACACATCAAAAGCACTCCAAATCAACGCGACCGCGTCTACAAAAGGATGCAGCTAATAAAGAGGCCATCGACCTTCGTTTGCGATGCAATCGTTTGCATGCGTCTTGCAGAGTCGCGCGACAATGGTAATCTGTCTCTCGCTGAAACCGGGTCACCGTGAGATTCTCGGACTCCTGAGTCTGCCTCAGCTGCCACGTAATACAGCAAAGACTTTCGTCCGAATCGCTTTGCGCGAGATTTCTGCGATCGCAAAGCCTCGCGGTATGTTCATCGGGCGAGAGCCTCCGAATCAATTTGGCAATGCAGATGCAGATCAGCGTTAGGTGTTAGCGCCGAAACGTTGTCGCATGCGCGCAAACAAAATAATTAGGGAACAGCGCGTGTGAGATAACCATCGGCGCTTCAGGGGCTTTGACACGTCCACTTTACGCGCGAGTTTGCGTGGGTATTAGGCCGGAGAAAATGGGATGTAGCGTGCGACACCCGACAACCTACTGCCGACACTCACTGGTCGCAGCTTATAAAATGCAGATGAAAACTAAAGTCCATCGCGAATGTAATTAATTTTGTTTTCACGTATTGCCATCATCTGAATATACCAGCTCGTCCACGTGGCCGCTCTCTATTAAACTTTTGAGGAGCTTGGAGCTATTATCTGTCGCAAAAGGCACATACAAAATGCGTCTATTTCTGCATCGCGCGCGATAAAATTTATCTCGTGTTGCCCGCGCGCCGGTTTTTTACGCGCTCGCCAGTGATACAGCGAGCCTCCAAGCGAACGAACGTACAAGAGCTCTGCCGTGAATAGCAATCTTTTCGCAAGCGAGAGCGCGGGCGTCAGGCACGATAGAATTCAAAAGCGTCGGATAGGCGATACACCGTTGCAGCTTTATTTCGAGCCTCGCCTGCTAGCCTTTCGAATGGTTGTGCGCCATCGTTGTACGACCAATGAATATCGGCGGAAAATTCGTAAGGAAGGATGTATTATTAATTATTCAGAGTTGGACTTCGAGGCTTTCAAGTTCGGATTCCATGAAAAATATCATTGCCGGAGGGACTTTTACGCGGCTGATGAAGATGACGTTCGAAGGCCTCTTGATTTGCAAAGATCTCCCCTTTTTTAACTGTCGTATTGACACACTTTTAAGTACCGATTGACCCACATTTTTCTGTGTAATGTGCACTCAATGTTTTTACTTTATAATCATTAAAGTTCGTACTTTAATTAAAAGTTAAAAGTTATTTTAAATTAAAAATTAATAGAACACCGGAATTATTTTTTCTCGAAAAAGGAATTCCAAAAAAATCAATATTACGCTGGATCATAGCTTCGAATAGAAAAAATTATTCTGGGATATATTCAACATTGCAGGCGATCGAGAACATGCGGCAGATACCACAATGGCACTGCTTGCGCTATCGCAAGTTCGACTTGGTACGTCGCTGTCGCAACTATCGAATCGGTCGCAAGCACTGACAGTACTGTCAGTGTAGCTAAGCCAGCACGCAGCGACGTCTCAGGACTCAAGCAAACTTAAGACTGCGCCAGCCTGTCATCGTAGAGGCACTTGCCTCGCTACTTGGCAAGCTCTATCCCAGCCGATACAATACTAGCTAATTTTATTTTCTCCGTACCCGCCAGCTGACATTTCACTGCTACTTGTTCTCTGCCTTTTACTCGCTCTTTTGACCGCTAGTAAATTGCGTGCTTATTGGATTTTTTATTTGCTCGTCTACCGAGTACTTGCTATATCACTTTTAATTAATTGTGAAATTTATGAAAAACGCTTGACGACCATCCTTGCGATGTTATTTTAAAACCATAATTAAAGTTGAGAAACTTACGATAAAGACTAATTCATGCTATTACAATTAAGTCAATATCTTCGTTATTATTATTATCTTTCCCAATTGAATCTAATACTTGACTGATGCTATTCAGTTTTCATAAATTACAGCTATACAATGAATTATTGTAAAAATGACTATTAATCACTGATACACGTAAAATGTATCATATTTTCTTGATTTCATATTTCCTTGATATTGTTATTATTTATGTAAGATTTTGTTATAAAAGTATCCTTAAACTATCGCGAGTTTCTGTATCTCGTGTTCAGTTAAAAAAATAATAATAAATGTTAATATGTAAACAATTTACATTACTACTTACTTCTTCAACGGCATTCTTGCTAATTCCCTTGATGTAATCATGCACAACAGATGTTTTTTCAACGTTCGTTATTCTCTCAGCAGCTACAAGACGATTGAATGCTGTCAATGGTAAGTTACGACTAGCCGATAAATTTTCCAGAGCTTTACTGGATTCTGATTTGGATTCCAGAGTCAAAAGTTCTTGTTCTGAATCTAAAAAGAACAATTGAGATTTCCTCTGCCACATCACTGTTTCTTCCTCATTGTTAAGATAATTGGCCGAAAAACAAGCTGCCAATACCGTCGTATCTTTCTCGACTAAGTTCTTTCTAATATATACAGGTTCGTGACTTGCCGGTGTAAATACAAACACTAGAAATGATCAATTATCACGAAATGTCTTTATTTTGATCGATAAAATAAACTTACGCGTGCTATCAGCAGTAAATGCTGCCATGTAGTCAGATAAAGGATCAGAAGTTAGTATAGTTAAATTTATAGGTACACTCCATTTCATTGATAATGACAAAAGATCCCAAATTGCCATGTGTTCAGATGAAGCAGCAACAACTAGATGGATACACTCGTTTGACTGCTTTCCAAATTCAATTCGACTGAAATGTAAAATCTTAGTTTAGTACACTACAACCAGCTTATAAGGACAAAAGAATAAATATTGGGGTATTACGTTATAGGATGGGGGTAATGACTATGACTTAAACAACTTTTCAGGACGCTGTTTTCGGTAGACCATAAAGTCAACGTAGAACCAAATCCTACTCCTATGAGTGAGCCATCAACAGAAAATTCTGCATCTAAAGCTGATTGATATGCATAGTATCCAACACTGTAGCATTTCCAGTGCCTCTTTATACCTACAAAGAACAAATCATGCTATAGCTTGTTAGGTAAAATAAAGCTTAAATTTATTTAAAAGAAAAGAAAAATGAATGAACCTTCACTCGTTGAACCATGTATTAACTGCCACATTTTGAATTTTTTATCTTTGCCAACAGTTACGACAAACTGTTCTTCATCACCTAACGATGTTTTTGGCTTAAATTTTAACGCATTCACTCCATTTTCATGTGGAAGTTCAATTGATGTATTTAAAACAAAGCTGATAAACAAAAAATTATATTTTTAATGAATAAAACGTTGGATTTTTAATTAAGATTTTAAATTAATTACTTCTGCTTGTCTGCATGAAACTCCCAAAATTTGAGCCTAATTTCCATACTTGAAACGCCATCATCCCGTTCTTCCATTGTTGCCATAAATACTCCATCAGAACTTATTGCTACTCTAGTAACCTCAGTATTTACAATAATTGCGTCCCTTTCTTGCGTTAGTATGTTTTGAGCAGTTATATTTACCTAAAAATAATTAAATTTAATATAAAAACCATGTTCTATCCACTTATAGTGATAAAAATTGATACTAAAAATTGCAGTAACTATATGAATAACTTACATTATACAATAAGCTTTTTGTGCGAGGATTAAAAAATTGTACATGACCAGTTCGACTATTAAGCACTAGACTATTTGTTCGAGGATCTACAGTCAAACCTGCTGGGAATAAACTTTTCGGAGAGCTAGCTACACCCCATGTGAAGTTCTGTATTACTGCTGTCAATTTCCTTTGAGGATTTACTATAATAATACCTGTGGTGTCAAATAAAATATAAAATAAAATTAGTTTTTGTAACAAAGTTGAATCTCAAAAATTAACAATTATTAAAGTAACTCACCATTATCTAAAGTTGAAACTGCTACATAAATATTTTCTGGTGCAACTGTAAGATATCTTATGGGAGCTGGTAGTCGAGGAAGAAAGGACTTATTTTGAGGATTCGATACTAACCATTTTACAAGAACGCATTCCCCACCTCCAGTGTACATATGACCACCTATAAATAAATAATGCACATTACTATGTTATTAATTATCCAAAGATACAAATCAAATAATAAATTTACCAGATTTACTGAATGCAATTTCAGTGACAGCTAAAGTATGCCAATGATATACAGCTCTAACTGTATTAGTTTGTAAGATATCTTTCAAAACAACCACTCTACCACTCACATCTCCTATTGCTACACATTCCTCTTCAGGGTGACCTGATACACATGTAACTTTCCTTCCTGTTTTGTGACTATTTATTTCAAAATTAAAGCATTATAATTTTCATCCGAACTAACATAATTCAATGTGCATTAATATAAATCTACTTACCGATTAAACTTTAAAGCATGAGTAGGACTTAATATGTACAAAAATGTTTCTTGTGCAATAGCTATGAGATTATTTCCATAATTGCCAATTATATCAATGTAATATTCTTTACTAAAATTCCTACACAATATTTTTGTTAACATTTTTAAACATATATCATTAACTGACTACATGATACAAAACAAACAAATTATATCAAACTTACTCTATTTCTTTGTTTAGGATCCTAGTTCCAAGCTTTAAATCGAACAATTCAAGTCGTAAAGTTACATTATCTCCTTTTACTTTGACAGAACTAATTACACCATTGCACATGTCTTTATTCTGAAATGTTTTGTAATACATTATATGAAAAGATCTAAGTTTGATTTTAGAACTTTTAGGAAATCCAAGTTTCTGTAAAAATAATGATCAGTAATTTATTAATTTTTATTGAAAAATAATGCAATTAGGATTGAAGCAAGTACATGTAACAATTATATACCGTTTTAGATGTTATAAGACCATTGTGACAATTCCAATGAACAAGTTCTGCATTATCTGTGCAACCAATTAAGGTATCAGGATTTTCAGGTGAAATAACGATATTAACTATTTTATGGTGAGCTGGTTCCAATTCTTTGACAAAGTCACCAGTGGTTGCGCTGTATGCTTTGATGACTTGCTTCCAAACCACATACAGCGTTCTGTTATTTGCAAAGAATATGCAATGATAAGTTGAAAATACTAATAGTCCTCTGACAATATTTGGAAAAACTTACTCTCCATCGTTAGAAAAAAGTGGTCGATGATCAATAATACTCCCACCACCTTTCCTCTTCAGAATTAAGTCATCGCTCTTAATTGAAGACATTTTATTCGGTTTGATTTTCCGATTTTCTTTTAACTGCATTTCGTTAAATGTAGTAGTAAACTTAAAGGTTATCACAGATCACCAGTTCATTAGTTTACGAAACTAATTAGAGATGAACATATTTTTACATATTAAAAAGAATTATTAAAAACTACAAAATAAAACTAATCCCACGTGCATTCATATCATGTGTGTGTTCAAAACACACGACAATCTCGATGCAGCGATACCAAGAAAGCGTCGTAGTCGAACTCAAGATCGAGAATGAACGCCATAACCAATATTACGAAGTTACCGCTACCTGCTGGGATTCCTCTGTACGTACGAATACGCGGTAAAATTGAATTCTTTAAATTTTATATTTATTACAGTATTTATTGAATTAGTTACTTAGGATCGGTATGAAAAGATAAATAATAAATAAGCAATTTTAATTTATTGTAAAAATAAATAAATTAAACGGAAATTAACAAGAACATGAATATGCAGTGAATAATAGCAAAAAGGTGTGTTTACTTTAATTTAACAAACATACGGTTATTTTTAATATTGAACAGCTCACTTAAATTATTTTTTCTAATTTACACAGTTACTTCATATTTAGATCCAACATAATATCAGAAATCAAAGTTGATTATTTAGAAATTTGAGTGAATATAACTAAAAAATAATAACACATATTCAAGTTACTGAACTTTCTGAAGTCTAGATTTCATGATCAGCAAAAAATAGGTGTCTTTTTTTAATCGGGTCACTATAGAGGATTATAAAAACTAATAAACTCAATAACTTTAATTTTTATATGTACGTTTGGAGTTTTTATGACTGTTTCGTATTTTTTTAATGATATTTTACTTAAAATCGGGTACATGCTTACGAAATGTGTAGTCGTGATTTGTCTTCTGTTGATTCATCAACAATGGATGTGCCATAATTATTGCACCGCATACAATTACAATGAACCTTTATTAATTTTTCTTTCATTTTCTATTAAATTTTTTTATGAATTTATGTACTTCAATGTTTGAATTGTTAACTATTCTATAAATTTTTTCAATTACAATATAGCATTGGGTATACTTTCGAAAAATTGGGCGACGATGAATTTGTTTATTGACAAGTATGACGTATCGCTGTGCTCGATGGGCTACTTTTTTCATCAATGATAAATATGTATAGCATCGCATATTTAAATATGTATTGTATTCGCTGCACGCAGCGCGCAGCTGACCGAGCGCACTCGAGAAGACGAAATGCGGCGGCAACGCGTGACGCTTCCTCGAAACCGTAAAGAAGACAAATAGAAATGGGTATGTAGAAAGTGACCTTCACCGAATGGTCTGTAGAAAGTAGCTTGTTACGTAATTCATTTTGTAATACAACTGAAAAAATGAAAACTTGGATAACCTGAAAAAAAAATTAAATATCGAAGTAAAGAAATTGTATACCTACGCCTCAGTTTCAATGACAATTAGTCATTGCGATACGCGCTTAGCTCACTAAGAGAAAAAAAAATCGGACGGATGAACATAATAAGAAGAGGAAAAAATTGTAATCGAGCTCGCGAACGCCCATCCGCATAAATAGCGACGCGAGCAAATTAATTAATATTCCACTCGGTTGTCTATGCCATAAATAGAGAAGCGGCATTACTACTTTACTAACCCAGTCATTGACCTCGGCACACAATAATTGTTTTATGAAAAAAGTCTGATGAGGTACACTCAGAGCGAAGATGAATGGTTTTGCAATATTTAAATAAAGCGCACGGCGACAATTGTCAGGGACGTTCGCGCTCGCGGGAGCGCAATCACCGTTAATTACTTATCTTGGCAGACGATTGACCATTTCTCCGATACGTCGCGTCAGCTGGCACAAAATTGCCATCCTGTCGTACGTCGAAAACGAAGAAAGCAGCCAACTATCCACAACCGCCGAGCTCATGGACGTCCTTGTTGCGCGCAATCTAAACGGCGATTTCTCAACGACGTTAGAGTCCCATCACGGTTACTCGTTTCCTTCCTAAGCAAACACGAAAAAAAAAAAAACAAAAAATATATAATAAGCGCGGTGGTTGCGAAACGCCGGCCGGTCGCGCTCGTCGGTCAGCGGGAGTTCCAAATTCAAGCTGCGACTCGCGCGTACTCCAAGCACATACATACACAGAAGGCGAACGGTACCCGGGCGGCGAACGGTAAAGCGCGCGCGTGACGAAAGGGAAGGATCACCGCGCGCAGAGGGAGAAGAGACTTGCCGTGGCTGAAGATCGCGCTCGAGCAAAGTCAGGCGGTCATTAGTCGCCGAAACGTCGAACGAGTCGCGCGCGCGCGCCGTCCTCTTTTTCTTTCGCTATCTGCGCCCTCGCTGCGGCATCGGCTTTTCCGCGAGCGCCTGCTGTACCGGCCGGAGTTGCTATGGCTCTTCCAAGGGTGAGTCACGATTGACCGTCTTGCCAAGCGGCTTTTTCTTTTTCTCATTGCTGCAATTTTTCGTACGACAAGCGTATTTACTCCGAATAGATAACCAATTTGTCTGATGCGAATCGAAATTTAACTTCTAGCGTTAACCCGTTAAAAAATCGTTGTCAAGTGACTCCGTTGAGTGGCTGTTAAAGATCCACGAGTTACCACTATCACTTGTTAGCAATAACGATTCGCTTTCTCTCGACCGCAATGCTCTGTTGGAGTCATAAAAACAAAAATAGTAATCCATTCTACCCAAGTTCTTTCATAAGACGTCCATTCTCCGAACGAAACGAATCGTTTCGACGACACACCATTGCTAATCATTCATTTAAAATTAGTCAAAGAAAAAGAAGGAGGAAAGAATCTGGCGGAAAAAGCGAGTGCGCGCGAGCAATTTGCACGAAACGCGCGCGCACGCTCAATTGACGTGCGCAAGCAGAGAGAAAACAATGGGAAAAATGCATTCCGACAGGCATCGCGGTTGGCGTTACTGCTGGTCACCGTGGCAGCGGGTCTGGAAGCTCGGGGGCCCATCCAGGACGCGATCGACAGCGGAGCAGCAGCCGACTACAACAAGGACGAGTGCACGTGGAGGCGCGGCAACGATCGCGACTCCTGTCCCGATCCCGACGTGCACCTCTACCTGTACACGCCCGGGAATCCCAAGAGGAAGCTGGACCCGAATCACGTGGCCGACTGGCTTAGGCAGGACTACGAGCCCGCCAAGGAGAACGTCATCCTCGTGCACGGCTACGCGGGTGAGTTGGTCCTCGCGCGAGCCGCTCTGCTGCGCCGAGGAGATCGGCGAGCGGGCGCGCTCCAACGACCGGCTGTGCCGCAGGTGGCGAGCACGCGCTGCCCATGTCGGTGCTGCGCGACGCCTACCTGCGCAACGGCAGCTACAACGTGTTCCTGGTGGACTGGGGCGCGCTGTGCGCGGCGCCGTGCTACCCGGCGGCGGTGTCGAACATGAGGCCCGTGGCGCGCTGCCTGGCGGGCTCGCTGACGGCGCTGCGGAACCACGGCTTGGCGATAGGCCGCACGAGCTGCGTGGGCCACTCGCTCGGCGCGCACGTCTGCGGCATCATGGCCAATTACCTGCTGTTCCGCATGAGCCGCATCGTCGCGCTGGACCCGGCGAGGCCGCTCATCCGGCCGGGGCTGGTCAACCGGCTGGACAGCGGCGACGCCGACTTCGTCGAGGTCATACACACGAACGCCGGCTATTACGGTGAGTGACGACCGTGCGGCCGGCTCGATCGCAGCTGTCGCGCCCGAGCGAACCTCCGCTGCTGCTGTTGCAGGCGAGCTCGGCAAGGGCGGCCACGTGGACTTCTGCGTGAACGGCGGCAAGTCACAGCCGTTCTGCGAGGACAGCGACAACGAGCAGCTGTGCAGCCACGTGTGGGCCGTGTGCTTCATGGCGCAGAGCGTCGACGGCGGCCGCGGGCTCGTGGCCGAGCCGTGCTCCCGGCGCTGCCCGTCCGGGCCGCGCGTTGCGCCGCGCTCCGGCGAGCTGCTGCTGATGGGCCAGCACACGCCCGCCGGCTCGCGCGGCTCCTTCTGCCTCGCGCACCGCCAGCCGCCCTACTGCCCCGAGTTCAACGAGGGCCGCGGCGACGATCGGTGCTGCTTGTGAGAGCGCCCGCGGGCTGACGCCGCCGTGCTCTCTTTCCCTTCGACGCGCGAGACACTCGGAGCTCGCTCCCCTCCGATCTCGCGCCGATCAGTATTATCACTTGCGGATGTTATACTCGTGTCGATTTGTCGAGGCGCCACTGCTCGCGGAACTTTCCCCGGCGCTTCTTGCGATCGAGATCGCTGTCCCTCCAGCGTCACTTTCTTCTCCTCTCGACTCTTTCCGGTGCGCAGTAGTGCAAAGCAATAGTCGCGCTATCACCGAGACTTTGAAACACACCGGCTGCAGAGGTGTGCTCTAGTGCTCGTTGTCACGGTGCCCTAGGTCCAAATCAGCTCCGCCATGCCATTTAAGGGTTAAGGGGTCAAATTACTATGAATTTACAGACAAATTTCACAGAACACATTGTTTATTATAATCCAACATGTTTCAATGAACGCCAAGAGGTAACTTATTAAAATTCGAATGATTACGTAGCTAAAGTTTTGTACATTTTAACTGAGACACTCATTTATTTTTCCTCGTATCACTCGCACATCTTTATTTACAATTAATACGTTGTCACATAGAAATGTAACGATACTTAATTCTTATTCCTTATGCTTTAACAAATCGTCTTCGACGAATATGTATAAAACTGTAAAAACTAGAAAGGCACGTACATCTGCTTATTGTTATGATGACAGTTAAATACAATTAGGAATTTAATGACAAGAATAATAAACAAAGTTATATGAAATTCCATAAATTTCATAACCACAAATATCAAAAAATTTAACGCTTCGTTGAATGTTTCGGTTGAACTTGATAACAATATATAAATCTAAAACGATATAACTTAGTAAACTATCTACAATTAATAAAAGACGCTGGACATAAGTTTACTTCATATGACCGAAAGACAATATTTCTAATGATTTCGACACAACTCGAAGGCAGGACTTACGAAATTAATTTTAAATTAATTCCTCGTTCACCTCGACGTTCGAACTAGCCAACGTACGTGTGCTTCTCATTTCATTAATACGTGTGAGGTGTATCATACAAAAGACAAATCTTATTTCCAGCAAAATGTCAATTTATAAAGAAAAAAAGTCCGATAAATTATCATGCAATAACGAATAGTAATCGCTCATATCTATGTTCAATAAAATGACAAAAAAAGCCATAATCTATCTCTTCGAGTCCAAGTGCTGCGCAACGTAGGCATAATCCTATGGAGTCTGTCGCATCTTAGCCAACTCGAACGCCATGAGATGATACTGTGCTGAGTGCGCTTCGTTCAGAAAATTGAGCTGCGCTTGCTGCTGCTCAATCGCCTTGTCGCATCTCAAACTGTCCGACACAACAGTAGCCTCGTTTTCGTTGTCGCACCAAGGTCTGTGCAACCTCGGCCGTGTATTTTCCCTCTGCAGGTCCGGCGACGTGACCGCATCCCTATCCGAGCTGCTCACACTGCAATTGCTCTCGGCATCGGTCTCGCTGCTTCTCGCTCTCTTGGGTGCCGCCGACTCGGTCGAGTCCGAGTCGGACGATACATTGCCTTCCTCTTCGCCTTCCGACATGTTACTCGGGTCGTCGTTCTGCAGGCGCCTCTTGCGCTTGCACGCCGACTGGCCCGTCTCGCGAAATCCTTTGGCGAACGGATTGTTATCGATCTTCAGCTTCGTTATGTTCTCGTTCTGGAAACAAATAGAAGGCTCAGTGAACCATGTCGATGCATGCCAGACGCTCGATCACGGTAATGTCGATGGGTGTTTACCTGGTAAGCCGTCACTGCGATGAATTCCGTTTCTTTAAATAGGTAACTTTTCGAGGGGCTCTCGTAAATGTCCCTGCGTAGATTTGCCAAATTGTCGCAACGGATGATCCAGATGCGTGGGTTGTATTTATGCATGGACGTTAGCAGGATCTATAGTCATCAAACAAAAATTATACAAGCATGAAATTAAATAAGCTACCGTCACCGAGATGAAGATCAAATGGGTGTAATCCCAAATAAACAAAGATTTCGAGCGATCATCGAAAGAAGTCAAGTCGGCAGCGTATTTTTCTTCAAACGCACCCACAGCGCACACGTGACGAGAAGTAGGGGGAGGACCGGGAGGAAGCAGCGCGTGCGCCAGTCTCGCGCGAGGAATTTTATTAAAATCATAATTGGTTTGCGGAATCGGTCAAAGGCGGCGACAGCCAAGCGGCTCTCCTCCGAAAACTCCCGTTCGCGGAAGCTCGACCCTCCCCAACCCCCGGCGAATTAGACTGGCGACCAACTGCTGCTGCCGCTGAGCCATACAAGGTGATAATAGTTTTTGCTGCTGCTGCTGCTGCTGCTGCTCGAGCGACAGTGAACAGACGACGCGTTTGATGGATGACTTTTAACGCGCCGGCGTTTTAATTCAATTTGTCGGGAATTCAAGCGCCGCGTTCGCTTGCAACAGTGCCGAGCCTTTCATGACTGGCGTGCTCGTCCCTTTTTTTGCTCGTCCCGAGCTTACTTTGAAATGTGTAATGCGATGCGAAGGTTGCCCTTTGAAATTTTGCTGTCCTTTCTTTTTCACGTTATGCCTTTAATAAAGAGACGGCGCAAGTAGCGCGCTGCTTACGCGGCAATTTTCGGCAATTTTTGGCTATTTTTAGCGAAGACCCAAGACCGATATCAGTTGTCATCTATTGTCGTTACCCTCGCCTATCAATCAAGCACATCTTTATCTAATCAAATTTGAAAGACCGATTCCTCGACCGTAGATCGTAGCGAGTATCCTTGAGTTATCGAGAGAGAGAGAGAGAGAGAGAGAGAGAGAGAGAGAGAGAGAGAGAAAACATTGGACAGCGACGTTCACGCGAGGATACATTTCAGAAGAAGCTTCTAACACGAGGGTGGGTCGGTGTCGTCCTTTCGCTGAAAAGCCGAACGCGTGACCGCCCACATAGCAAACAAGAGGGCTCTTCTAACTCAACATCACACGCGAACAGCTGCTGGCATACTGGCACAAGGCGCGCGAAAGCTGTCCAAACACATCGCTCGCTACAGTACACTCCAGCCCAGATAAACCAACGCCGCGCTACTTCCGGGGGTATCTTTATCGGCACCTGTGCGACTGCACGTTCTTGGTAGCAATGCGCGCTCGTTGGAAAATTTACGGCTCGAATGCGAGTCGTTCTTATCGTGACTCAATTTCTTGTATTTCGGAACGAAGAAGACTACTTCGGGCCAAATCATTTTTCAATTTGAAAAAAAACAGGTGCCTGAAAGGATAGAGGCTACTGCCCTGCCCACCTGTATAAAAAATCGTGCAGTCCAAGCAAACACCTGACACCGACTTACAAGAGAGTGAGAGGGGGGAGGGGAGAAGAAAGAACGATGAACGCCCAACGATAATTAAGCCCGTCAGAAAGAAGAAAGAGAAGCAATTTAGGGTAGCACGCGTCCTAGCCGAAAATTCACACAATGCCATACTCACGTTATTGTTGGCGTCGAGGACGTTGTTGGTGAGCTTGAGTTTATTGAAGTTGAGCGGATGCAGCATCCAGTGGGCGCCACTGGCAGGGCTGTCCGGATGGATGTAGAGGCGCCTCTCGATCGGCGGCTGCTGCTCCGCGGGCCCCGCGATCGTCCAGCCCCTGCGCTGGCCGGGGCGGCCGTTCGCGTCTCCGCCTACGCCGACGTATTTGTGACGGCGCGAGGACGCCTGGGCCAACTCCATGAGCACGCAGTAGCGCGAGCGCCGATCCAGGCCCGCCACTCGCACCTGCACCGAGGGGAACATGCGCCTGCAACATTCGACGTGCCGATCAGAGCGAGCGAGCGTGGGCGGGCCGGCGCCTTCATCTCCCGACAACGGTCGGCTCCCGACGCCCAGAGGAATGCGGACGGGGCGCAGCCTGCGTAATCTGCCCAAAAGTGCATTCCCCGGGTCGCGCCGACGCAGCGGCTTAGTCACCTGCGAGCGATGCCTCGCCGATGAGTCAGACTGCGCCCCGCGCGCAACATCACGGCCCGGCGCATGACAAACGAGCGCCGCGGCAATTAAAAGTGCTGCCCCGGCGCCGACCGCCGGCTTCGGCTCCGATTCTCGCCGTCCGTCTGGAATTTCCGGCGCGCTCTCCCGGCGCAAATCCGCGGCCCAGCGGAGCGGACCACGGAGTCGGGGCCGGGCACGCGCTGCCAGAGCGCGGTGTTTATTAAATGTGACGCGGAGCGGTCAACGCCGGCCGTGGCGAACTGGGAACGCATTAGCGCGGCGAGAAAACGGAATGGGAGGGCCCGCGTGACTTGGCCGAAAGACGCGAAAGTCAAGAGGTCGGCAATTACCGGGTTTTAGAGCGCGATTGACATCGCGGAAAAGTAGTCATTCTCGCTCGGCGGATTTGGGCTAAGCAAGCTGGGATTAGCCACCTGGGTTTACGGTTACCTTCCGACCTATCGATGTTCATTTAAAAGTCGTTTGTCGCTGATTTTCCGATTTTTATCAGCACGAAAGAGGATTGTCGGATGCGCGCGAGTCATAACACCGCGAGCGCACAGTCAGAGCCTCTTCGGGTGAGCAGTTTCGGAAGAAGCCACAAGCGTTTCGGTTCGACATTTATGGTCGTAGTCATGGCCAAATTAATACGGAAAACTACCCCGGGGAAAAAGAAGAAGCCACTAATGAACGGACTCGCAAACATCGAAACTACTGTCCCAACGTTTGCCAACGTTTGTCCACCGTCGTTACAAGGTAAAAAAAGAAAACTCGAGAGAAAAGACACACAAGCAGTGCTCGCGGCTTCGGCAAACTCAACAATGACCAAGCGAGAAAAGTCGAGTGGACGGGAGAAGGGCCGTCCCCGCAAATCGCCTCTCCAGAGCAAGTCCACGCGATCCAAGCCTTTGATCTTTATCGACAGTAATCCGCCGAGTCAAGTCCCAGGAGTCAATCGTATGCTGCGATTTCTTTGCCCTTCCCATGCGTGTCACCGGCTTTCCCCGGTAGGTAGATCCTAATTGTGTTTGCTCGTGGCTGCTCCTATAACACGTGTTCCCGTGAGCTTTGCTCGCGCGCAGATTTTTCAAAAGCAACCACGCGGTCCTTTTGTCTTTTTGGGATCAAGTGCGGTCCTCGTTCTCTTTCTGCGTCCTGTGCACATGTCCCTTCGCTAGACAGAGACAGAGAAAGAGAGAGAGGACACACTCGTGACTCGCAGGTAGCTGTGGCTGCTGCGCTGGTTCCTTTGTTTTAAGCTCTGAGAGTGTTTGCTTTTGGCTTTAGCTGGAGAAGAGTCGCCACGATAAAACGTTTTTTCCCTCGAAGAGATAAATAATCGTTACGAATCGATTCATCGTCCATTGCGCTAATTTTGAATCGGAGCCAACGTAGTTTTGGTAACTTTTCATCGGATGTCACCTTCGTATATATACTTTTACAGACGTTGATACCTCTCTCTACGTGGGAAAAGTAAAAATCTACTTTAAAAAGTATCACGGAATACTTGAAACAACATACCCTCGCACCTGACCCGTAAGAGCTTGAACATTTCACACGCATCGTGGCGGCAGAGCCCACTTGAAAAGAAATAAAGGGAAAGTTTTAGGGAAGCAAAGTAAAAAAATGTAAAGCAGCCGTAATAAAGACCGGCACTCGGAGATGAGAGACGTTGTATATATACAAGAGAGCGGATCCATCTGCGACAAAGGGCCCCGCAGCGAGTGCCGCAAGCAGCAGCATAGGTAAGCATATTGGACCCGCGGCAGGCGGTCGTAGTCGTCGTACGGGGCTCGCGGGGGAAAAGATTAGTGAGCGCGTAGCAAGGGGTCTGCGCTTGGCGCCAGCTCTCTCCGCGCAGAGTGGGAGAAAGGCTCCAGAGTCTTCTGCGACTTCTCGACGCTCGAGAGAATCTACACCTATACGGCTGCGCATCGCCAGGCGCCCTTCCAGATCTCTCGCTCTGGTCGCTCGCCTAGGCGCTACCGGGGATACCGGGGACATACGCGATCGCCGCTCTTTCCCGGCCAACGTTTTCGTCCACTCGACATTTCGACGGACCAACCGGTCCGAGTCGAGATCGCAACGCGACAAGCCAAAAGAAAGCAAGCGTCGCTTTCCTTTCAAGCCGCGAAGCTGCGAGGCGAGAGATGAGACGGAAAGATGCGCGTGCTACCGTGCTGCGCCGACGAGAACACGTGTAGAAGCAACGCCGGCGCGACGAGACGGAGCACGCAGCACTCGTCGAGATTAGCCACTTGGGACGGGAGCTCCGTTTTTCTCTCGATCGCTCGTCCAAGATGCGCTCGATAGCGCGGCTCGATCCGACGGAAGCGCTGGCCAGAGGAAACACGTGCGCCGTAGAGCAAACAACGGCAAAAAAAAAAACGGAGAGGTCGCCAGGAAGTAGCCGACAATAAAGCGAAAATTTTCCAGGCGAAAAGACGGAAAGGCTCGCGAGACGAAGAGAGCGAGAGAGAGAGAAACCGCGCCACACATGCTCGGCACGTGCGCGCGAACAAGAGCGCCCAGCGGCGCGGCCTTTTTGCCAAAGCTCCCTTGTGAATCGGCATTGTCTTCGCCGCCGCTCGTCGCCTCGCAGATGCTGGCTCCGGCGCGCTCGTTTCGCAGCACGTGGCGCGCAGCTTCGCCGAAGGTGTGAACCCGCCGCTGCCGGGGGCCTCCGCGGCGAGCCGCAGCCAAGCCAGAAGGCCACGCCGGGCCGCGGGCCAAAGCGAGTCACTGCACTTACGTCCGCTCGCGTCCTATCCTCGCGCTATTTTCGCGCGCGATTCCGCGTACGTCTATCTAATCGACGGGGCGCGCGCCAAACTGGAAGGACGCCTCTCGGTTTTCGCCGAAGCGATCTCGATCGGTGGGCGTGCTAAGAGATAAGGCAACGGGTACTTCTGCCTCGTCGATCGTCGCTTACACGTCGACGCACGCGCGCGCCCGCCTCGATAAAACTCGTCGCATCCGAGCAGCTCTCGTCGCAGCGGGACATCGCGTGCGGATGGCCGCCCGAGAAATTATATATATATATATACTGGATACAGTTTGACGCCTTCGGAAGAGCGGCCGAATATGTAAATTGAATGCGTGTCGTCGTCACCGATGTTCTCACGTTTTTTTCATCTCGATCCTTGGTCGATGCCAGAGACATTGCCTTTCATCGACGCCGCGCCATGCGCGCGCATTCGAGTATGAGCCCGCGGCGCGCGGCCAACAGGTGAAAAAGCTGTGCCGTTCGCGCGCGATCCATCGGCGCGGGATCGGGGCGGGAGTCCTTGTCGGGAAAACACGTCGTCCGTCCATTCACCGTGGGTCGGCCGAGATCGACGAGTGTCGCGCGAACGATTGCCGGGGCCGTTAATCGGTGGCGAGAGAGAGAGAGTCGCGGGGCTCCGGCGTCCGCGGCTGCGCGCGGCTTGTCGTAGATATTAGCGGCGCTCGCGTCGAGAGACAAAGGGCTCCGCTGCCGCCCGCCTGACCGTCGCCGACATGTAAGGCCCCCCTAAGCGCGTGGGACGCGCGAGCCGCCGCCGTCGGCGGCTGGGCTACCATACTCCTGCTCTCGCTTGGATTTTTTAATTTCACTGGCGACGCCGCTGTGGCGAGGAATTCTCTCTCTCTCTCTCTCTCTCTCTCCTCACAGTCTACGTTTTGGTTCTCTCGTTTCTTTTTTTCCCCCGATGATTTATGAAAGAGAGAGAGAGAAATAATAAATTCGAGCGGGGTCACGAGTGATTGTGCCTGATTGGAGAGGATTACCCAGCGATTTATGGCTTATTACGCGCGCGCGCATGTTTTATATATTGGGAAGGCAACGTTTGTTTGACTGCTTTGAAATTATTTATGCGCGCCAGAATGGCGTAGTGGCGTAGAAAAATGAGAAATAATGAGATAACGGAGACCGCGCGTAACACTTCCTCATTGTCACGAGCAGGTGTGAAAAGAGCACGATCCATCGTACCTGCTTTCCAAAGGTATCGTAGTCAAAAGGGGAAGAGAAGAGGCTACCTACTTAGGAAGCTTTATTTCTCGACAATGGAAGGAGAGAACGAGGGTATCGCTCGCAATAATTATGAACCTCTACTGGTCGGAAACGACCCTTAACGAGACGCCAGCGTCTTGTTATTTTTCTCTTCCAATCTCTTCTCGGAGAGCATCTGTTTAATACACTTTTCATCAGCTAGCAAAGGAAAATATGAAAATGCCGTCTTACCTTCCTGTTTTGGTAATGATCATTTCGGTCGTCTCGGCGTGAAACTGATCCCAAAGATCTTTGTTGTCCAAGTATACCTCAACACTGTCCGGTAGTTTTGGACCATATGTATTGTTCAGCACTGACCAAATGCCGCCGTCTGCAACAGACGAATATTATCAATCGTCGAAATTTTACTTTTTTACAGGGTATCCGTTACAAGCAATTACAGTGCGTTAGTTCACCTCGACGGCGATCTGTCCAATGTCATCCCACGCATCTAAATCGCACCCCGCCGCGCAAGCACACCCGACAACTGTATCTAATTAGTCCTCCACTCTACGAACCCAATCACTTCGACCGAGCCGGCGCCAGACAAACACAAGTGTGAAAAGTTACATGCGATCGAACCTAAAGCTGGAGATGTTCCAGAGGAAGACCGCACTCGAGAAAAATCTGTTGTCGCGACAGCAGTTTCCACCACTGTTCGGTAAAAAAAAAGGAGAAATAGCGGAAGCAGCCTAGACTCCTCTCTATGGGGAGGCCCTTTACATTCGGAGTACAAAGCGCGTCGAAAATGGAGTAATCCTCAGCAGCGGCGACACACTTTGGAGCCTCTCGCCACTTTGGCGGACTTCCGCGGGTGTCGATGGCGCGGGATTAGTATAGACGCGAGCGAGCGGCCAAAGGAGAAAAAGACGCATGCAAGCGTAATTGCCAATGCTCGTGCGCCTACCCGGCGGCTCGCTCTCGGATCATCCGCTTGCAAGTAGATAACTGATTGTCGGTCGAACGCACACATGGCCGCGGCGCAGTCCTTTCATCTTCTTTTTTTCTCTTTACGCGATGACCTTGTCGTTCTTTTTTTTCTCTTTTATTTTTTTTATTTCAATTATACACACAAGATGTTGATTTAAGAACAACCAATGGCTTCCGAGTGCGCGTGTGTACATCTGTGTCGCGGATGATTAAAGTTGTCTATAATGGCGCGGTTACGTTGCGCATTTTTTTCGTACAGGTATAGAATTCGTAGCCTCCAAGGAGTTCCCCCTTCGGTTCTGTCGTTGGTGGTCTTTTCACTTACCTCGTCCACTCTCTCTCTCTCGCTGCTTCGTTCTTTCTTTTTCGTTAATTGGATGCCTTGTTTCATGGGTATGTGGAAAAACGCGAGGAATGTTCTGTAAAATACCTAGAGATTAAATTGAATGCCAATGCTCGTGCACTCAACTAAATAGGAAACATAGATTCATTTTTTTCTAGTACGAGCTTATGAATTTCGTAAAGAAGAAATAAAGACTATAAACTTCTTTAATGCTTGACAAGCCTCACGAGTAGAAAAGAAGGAGTTTTTCGGCAAACATCGCCTTCCGTATCATTATAGGTTTCACAAGAAAAGGTATAGAGAAAGAATGAAGGGAGTTAAAATTGTGGGGGTCGTTCTTTATGATGCGTAAGACAAATTAGATATTAGAACAGAGCATCAAGGAGGTACGGAAGTAGCGTAGAGAAGAAAATTTGGTTGTGGCTATTTTTTCTCAAAAACTCGTAAAATCAACGGGCAAGTTTGCCGAGATGAAAAAGTGTCCTCGGATCACCGTGAGAAAGAAAGAAATGAAATATATAATTTTTTTTTTTGGTAAAAGTGCGGCTTCTGTCTCTTTACTGATCTCGGACCGACACGAAAATGACACACCCGCGTATAGCGCAAAGCAAACAAGACTCTCAGAAAAAACGTAAAGCATTGGAGGCTTCCGGAAACCGCAAAGAGAGCCGAAAAATTATAGCTCGTTAAGATTTTTACCAAAATTTGCTTTGCCGTTTAGAAATTTCAGTCGTTACTGCTAGAGAACAGATGTTCGGTTTCAAAGCACGCGGCACGAATCAATATCTCCTTGTTTTCGGCGTAAACGTAAATAGCAATGTTGCCAAATTATAAAGCAGAGAAACACGAGAGTGACGCTCAATACTACAAACAAAAACTATTTCACTGTAAGTTATTTGTGACAAAGTTTCAGATCCTGTATTCAAAAAATAAAATCAATCGGTTGTACAAACATGACGACAATTTCATAATAAGAATAGTATCAAATCCAATAACAGAAAACACATACCAATGCAACTGAAGAATTTTTCAAGATTACATTATCGATTACAATAAGTCAACAATAAAATTTAGTATAAATTTTGTTAAATAAAATGAACAATATAGTTAAGTTATTAGTCATATAATAAATAGTAATCAGAAGACGCAATACAAAATACGAGCGAGAAGCTACACGACATAAGTCAAATTGAGAAACAATGAGAAAAACGAGCAGAATACAAAAATAATTATATTAATATATGGAATTATTAGCAAAGCCCATTTTCAATAAATTAAGGATACGAAAATATTTCATGGAGCAATAGCTTACAAAATAATATGGTATTAGATAACTAATAACAATAAATCTTGTTAAGAAGTTTAAAAATACTATTATATTGTTTACTAAGATATTGAGTGTCTTTTGTCTCTTAATATTATTACTGTATGTATTAGTAAATTTCATTTCGGAAATTAATCTTTTATTCTTACTTATCTTTTTGTCTAAAATTCGAACATTGTTAAATTCAAAACGGTGTGTCGGATTATCAATAAGATGTTTTGGTATTGGTAGTAATCTGTCCATTGGAGTATTTTCATGTTCCTTAATTCTATGTTTGAGTTTACTTGTTGTCTGCCCTATATCAACAGCCGGACATTCGTAACATTGAAACTTATAAACAATGCAAGTCTCTGATCATTTTTCCCTTTTATTCTTACCAAGTTTAACAATACTGCTTAATTTAGAACTCCTGTGTGAAACATCACGTATGTTATACTTTTTTAAGGCAATTTTACAAGAAATGGCAATGGCATCTCGTACTAAACGATAAATTTTAGTAATTAAAATTATTTCAAGTGTCTACTATGTTTCGTTTAAGCAAGCCATTAGATAATTAACCTTCCCCATTAACTACTTGGATATTTAATTAGCTATTGATTGGTTTTCCTTTTGTAAAAAAGAGATAGGATTGAAAGTGAAGCTAATATATTCGTAATCTGATTAACTGTATTGGTAGTAAAAGTAGCAAATCGGTGCTAATAAATGGCTCGAGTTACTAACGATTGATTGAATAAATGAAAAATAAGACAATTCATAGAAATCAGAAAAAGAATAAAATTCGTAGATAAATATGTTCAAAAAGAAAGGAAATTTTGTGAGGCGTTTTATTTATAAAACGAAAAAGAAACGAACTTAGTGCACTTCCCATTAACTATAGCTAAACATCTAAAAATTTGTTACGTTATTAGATTTAAAATTACAATTCAATTTACAAATATAATTTTAATTTTTTCTTTACCAATTACGAAACTAAATATTAGTACAAATGAAAGACGAGCGTGCGAAAGCACGCTTGACGACTATAATAGGGGAAAATATGAATTACCAATATAATTTCTCTTTCGCACATTTATCTGAAAATCGCAGATGTGATATTATTCTCACGATAATAAATCTGACAAAAAAAATCCAAGCAATTGATTTAAGGTCGAACCTGTCTCGGCGATTATAACCTGCCTGTGTTCGTTCTTTAATAAGGAAATATCCCATGAGCGTGTCAAATCAAGGCGGCTTGTTATCGCAGATCGGATCTTGTGAAAAGCGACCTACCGAATTTTTGTCGTCACTCCTCGCGTGCGCCGTCTTTCTCAAGAGAAAGGAAAGGTGCTATGTGGTATCCTTTGAAGTTTTTTTTTTTTTTTTTCAAAAAAGAAGAATCTCTCTTACTCGAGGACAGGTCGTCCCGATAAAAATCAGACGTTCTTGTTCTTAATTTCCAAGTCGGCTGGTTCTTTCGATGAGGCCGCCGCCGTAGAGGCGCCGAATGTTAATTGACTTTCTCGTATGGGGCTTCGATCGTCGGCTAATTTTTCGTTACCTACCTGTATGCATATATCGTCTCTCGTGTTTATCAGCTGCGCGCGCACAAATGTCGGCGGTCCGCTTTTATAAAATCAAACTCGTATTGGCATCGAGTTACGTACATACGCGTTAAAATCTAATTTTGTCTGTACATCAACCTATTTATTTTTTTTTCACTGTTGACAATATGATGAAGCATAAGAAATAATGTCATGAAGAGACAATCCGTAAGACGAAAAATAACAAAAAATTCCAACTGTACCTAGAGCCCAAAAAAATCTTCCCTCGGCTTCTATGACAACCCTACAATGAACGTTGCACAGAAAGGAGTCATTACAGACTTGAGGAGCAATTTACAGCTGTAAAGCGGCGCACGCGAAGGAGATAAACTGCCACGGCGCGCGCGACATTAAAAAAAGAAGGCAGAGAGAGAGAGAGAGAGAGAGAGAGAGAGAGAGAGAGAGAGAGAGAAGGGTCCGCCTCTAATAAGGGGTTTTGCTATTATAGTGTAGCGGTCTTTTTTTCCTTTTCCGGTGGTCCAATCTGTCGCGGGCGCGCAAACGAGAAGTCGCCTATTGGTGACGAGGTGATGATGAGATTGTGTAATCAACTGCGGCTTCCTCTAATTTTCGAAAGAGACAGGGAATTGCGGAAACGACGGAGATGAATACACGTGGGTGAGATTGCGGCTTGGCTTTACGAGTTTCGCGAACGAGCCGTGGCTATGCTGCCGACAATTGGCTGAATTCTCGTTTCTCCTGGACGTTATTGGTTTTGCCGCGTAACCAGATGGGACTCGTGCGAGCCAAATGAACGCTCGACAACCGAAGTCGCATGGATGAAGTGTCAAATAAAACCCAGTGAGCGGAACGTCAACAATGGAGATTCAAAGGACAGATCGCAAAAATAATATAACATAATGGGCACCGAGGAATACTGCCAATGCACTTACCTTGTTGCTGATAATGAAAATTCATTCGATATTGGTGATAAAAAAAGTTATGCAAGTAGCTCTGCATTTCCAAAGGGCCTATTAGGTTATTCTCCATCGAAGTTTTATGTTAGTGCGGCGCTCGCACATGGACACCCGTGAATAACAAAAAAAAAATTCAAGTGCTGATCCTCGATCAGTTCGTAGAGACGTGCGCTGATAAATTACGAAGCAACGCGAGGACGACTTGTACGCGCGGGAATCTTTGCAGACAACTGACTCTTCAGCGACGTCTCAGTAGGTGAAGTCAAAACTGGGGAAGGACTGCGGCGGCGAGGAACTGCGTACGCGTTATTGGTTCAACAGCGGAGATCCATCCCACTGCGCGCTCATTGGTAGAGAGGCGGAGCGACGCTGCCAACCGATGTACGTCGTCCGGCTTGTACACGCGTTCGCTTCGCTGATTTTTCGCGCTGATGAAATCCTATCCCACGTGCGCTCGGTCCTTGCCACCTCGGCCCCTCATTGATCTCCCGATTAGCCGGTGCCACGGGCGTCCAAGCCTTTCGATCATCGAGCGCCCCTCGAGGATGGCGCCAACGCTTTCTTTTGACTATCCGTTGCGTTGAGGGTGCAATTGTTTCGGCTGACCTCCATCGAATCTCGCATACCAGGTATTACCGCGATCCCGACGAGTGCTCGTTTCTTTACGCGTCGATGCTTTAATTCGAGCTTCTGCCAGTCCGAACTCGAGCACGTTGCTTTTCGAGTGGCGCCAGACATTCAAACGGAAAACGTCATTCCGGATCATCCCAATTTTCAGCTTACGCGCGCGCCGTCGGGGTTCCTCAGCCGTGATGCCGCCACACATGAACAATCAATCCCGACATTCCACGGCCAATAATGGATGACCGATCGGCATACACCTTTTTCTCTTCCTTTTGGAAAATCTATTTTCACAGCTGGGCGTAAAAGGGCCGCGAATAGCGTGCCCAGTGAGCACTCACCTCTCGCTTCGCTCGGCCAATTACGAGGCTCTCGAAAGATGCTGCGTGCACTTCCGAAATCCTCCGATCCGCCGAGATAACAAACAGGCCTCTCTCGACGTCGCCGGCGCGACGGCCCTCTCGTGATGTGGCCAGCGGAGAAAGAGAGAGGACACGCGTTTTCTGTTTGTTTGGCAGCCCCGCAGTCACCCTTGCCAGCCATGCATATAACGCAGTCGGGAGAAAAGGAGCAGGAAAAAACTGAGCGAGGGCAGGATGCGCGCGCGCGCGCCTGCCTTTCGGGCTGTGCGCCGCGTCGACTTTTTCTTTCTCTTTTTCTTTTTCTTCTTCCAAAGGCGCCTGCATTTCAATTGGGTTGATAGCGTCGATGGGATTCGTTATTCGAGGTACGGTTATCATCTCGCGCGGTGGAATTTACAGCGCAGCCAAACAAAAAACATGTCGGCCGGAGATAGCCAATGTCCCCATTTGATAGCGCCTGGCCGCGGATGCGCGTGATTTCTACTTTTTTGCCTCCGCTTCGCTTTGCAGTGCCAGCCATTGGCATTGTCGTACAATTTGCATTTCGTTATATATGCTTTCCCAAGTCATATTCAATAAGCTATGCTCTTCGACGCAAATAATCAATTCAGAATTTGGCATTCTTAGTTTGTTTTTCGTTGCACTATCCGTCGATATTCCGATGCGCCATCGCTCAGTCGAACAAACTTGCTGCGTTACGGTTTGGCCACCCCCGACTGTATATTTTATTTTTTGAGAGTGCGAGGGGCGAGCGAGAGCCCCCGTATAATTATTTGCAGTCTTGTGTGCTTCTTTTAGCTTGTTCCACTAACATAAGAGCCCAAAGCGCTAACGTAAATTAGGCCTGGACGAGAAATAATTAATAATACCGGGAACATTTCCGAGGTTACTTCTCCATTTGACTGTTTTCGTTGGGGAAGGCGGATTGATGGTTCAAGCCTTCGTTGACGCGTGAATTCCATTTTTCAGAAAAATCAACATATTGCCATGCAGCCTCAATGTATTATCTCTAAACAATTAAAATTCAAGCCGAAACTAGCCGGGATAGTTTCAAATTAACTATTGCATCAATGGCGTACCTGAGAAAAAAATTACCCACGTTTTTTCTTCTGACACTAACAATTGTTTACAAAAAGTTATTTTAATAAATTATTACAAATTCTATTTGGAAATAAATTATTTCAAAAAACTGATAACGGGTTCGGGATTGCCTAGGTTGAAATTATTTATAACGATTTTACACTAAAAATGGTGTGTTTTTGGTGGTTTTCTTGGTTTTTTTCCATAAAGTCGATTGTCATTATTAATTTTTTGAAAAAATACGGGTAGTTTGAGGTATTCTTGGCTAGTTCTGGCTTGGTTATTGATGGGTTACATAGATGGCGCACGTAGCTAAATGCTGAAAGTCTTAGGTTCGGGTACGGAAAGATTCAAAGATACGTTTAAGGTAATCAACGCTTAAGGTATTTCATATTTTCTCTGGTGATGACGAACTTGTCGAACAGAATGTTCATAGTCTGCGTTCCGGCAACATACTGCATCAGTAATGAGAATCAGTTAATGCTACCGGAAACGTCATTTTCATGAAGTCGCATCACATCCATAACGTCTATACAACTATATCCAAGATGTTTGGCACTGCCGGGGCATAGTTGTATAAATGATATAGATGCGATGCTACTTCATGAAAGTAACGTTTTCGGAACGTTATGATTTAAATCAAATAATGATCATCGCTGTACTCGGTAGTTTCCAGAGCAACACATAATAAATCATTAGTTCTTGACTGATTCCATGGGGAAAAATCCTAGCAGTCCTGATTTATGGTGCTGTGTTAAGTTCAAACTATTTTGTGTCAATTGTGGTCATCGTCGGCCTGGCTTAATTTCCATTTTTGATTTGAAGTGCCATTTTAGATTGTACCTGATTCCTATGTAAATGATACCTATACCTGAATGTAGAACATTCAATTTCTCACTGTCAATTACTTCTTCTATCTATCCAAATGTTCTTTGCGATATATTGCTTTTGATAGCGCATTTTGTAATTATACGACACTTACAACGATATTCCAATACTAATCCGCCGTGGAAATTCTTTTGTACTGGCTGCCGAAAACGATTTTAGTAAAGATTTACGCGGCAAGTCGTACTACCGAAGAAGCATGACGAGCGGACTCGTTATGCGCGAAGGGCAGACTGCACGCGAACAAAGTTAACAGGCACTTAAAAAATACACTGTGCGAGTCTGCTAATGAAAGCGTAATTTTGGCAATTCTCGTAAACACTTAGTCAAGGCAGATTAAGTGAGTTTAGAAGTGCGTTGCTCCAAGGATAGAACTTCTAACTAACTAACTGACTCACTCTATGGATCGGGGTTGCAGGAAGCCGACGGAAAATCTGGCCGTTCGACGCGGACGCGCTTACGAGCGAATACAAGCGTCGCATGACAGGAAACGAATCGTAAAGCCCCATTTGTTCACTTCCCTCGTTTTGCGCGCTTTCTTCCCGTTTCTCGCTCGCAGCTCGCGCTTCCGAGTAATTGCACCGTCTGCGAAACGACGCGACTGCAATTAATGCCAAAATGATAATATATGCATGCGCGAAGTTGCGACGCGTTAGTTTACATTACAGTAGCTGCTTTGACGTATTCGTTGATCGTCACTTACCGATCGAATTGACCGATTTTAACGATCTTGAACGATTCGGGTTTGATGAGCGAAAGTGCGAGGTAAGCTGGTAATTGGGGAAAAAAGAATGATACAGGCCATTCGGAGATATATCATAATTACACCACGCCTAAATTAGTAAGGCAAAATACCGTAACAACGTATAGTCAGTTGTATCGTCCATGAGACAGGACAAGTTTCAGTAGGCAAGTAGCGCTGTCAAAGTGCAGTACTCGTGCAGCGCCCTCTGCGGCAAGGGCTGAGTTGGGGACTCACTCGCGCGTTAGTCGGTGCGCGAGCAAGTGCGAACGAGTGCGTTTATCGAAATGCCAACTGTCTGCCCTCTGGACTGCTACCTTCGTACACTTTGACATTAACACACGCTTCGGATTAACATCTGACTCAAGTGTGCTTTCGCTGCGATCACTCGTCAAGACTAGTTTCACGGCTCTTTATTCAGCTCAGAGATCGCAGCCTCGCAACGAGACGTCACTTCAAAGCGCAGGATCATCCGTATAGGCATTCGTTAGTTTGCAGGTTTCGTATTACGTATGGCTAACCAGTGCTAACAGAATTACTTTCATTAAGAATTCAACGACACTTGTTTCTGTTACGATCCGATATACACACAACAATCTAAATTTAAAACTTCTTCAAATAATCAATCTCCGCCAAAAGCACGTACGTTTTCTTACTCTTTTTCTTTCCTGTTAAACATTGATATAATTTGAATCACACTTCGAGTTAATTACGTCTTGCATCGATTTAACAAGCTTCGTCTCAGACGTTCAAGTGAAAAGACATGGAACGTATCTTTAATTTAACCCTTAACTTGCACACCTCATTTTAGCCACGTCACTGCTCGGTGGGGTAAATCTACCCCAGCCCGAAAAACATCGAATAAATCAGAGAATTTTAGATATTTTGCTATGAAAATTTTTTCTAGTATATTTCGAACCTTTTACTACAAAAAAAATATTCAGGTTAACAATTTTTAATGTTACACACATTGAAAAAAATTGTTGAAAAAAAAAATCATATCAAATATTTATCAAATATCATTTCTTATAGATTTTGACTTTCTTTTTCTAATAATGTTGAGAAATTTTATCTAAATCGTAAGCTGGAATAGTTATAAGGCCATTTTTACAAAAGATTCATAATTTTTTCACGGTTTTTTTCTCTGACTAATTTTAAGACATTTTTGTTCTTAGAAGCTTTCCACCAAACGTAATAGTTTTTGAAGAAAAATTTCCAAAGTAGAAACAAAATATTTTTCCTTTTCGACATTTTGTGTCCGCCATTTTGAATTTCGAAAAAATCCAACGGGGTTTGACAAAGCAGATATCTGTAACATCGTTTATGGCGTAGCAAATTTCTTCTAACTAAAAATAAACATTTAACCCATTAACGTCCAGCTGGACACATTTTATACACATCTCTTTAAGCGCTCACATCTATTGAATTTCGAGGCGAAAAAAATCGCAATAGGTGTATTCTTATATAGTTTGAATTGTCCTCTTTCTGGTGATAACTTTCAAATTATCAAAGAACTTTATTTTTGTGATAAAAAATGTTGTTTAACACAAAAATATTACTATTATCAAAAATA